GTACACCTTGGCAGCAATATCCGTTGCCGTATTTCCAAACAAGTTGTTTAAACCAAGTGGGCCAGTTCTATTGGAACTTGCCTCAGCAGGTTTTTTTGCCTGTATAATGCACTGAATCGATGAGATCATGATCTTCGTGTCGTGTGTCGTGGTTGTCAATCGAGGTTAACTGTTGTTAGTGTGTGCTTATTTTAGCCCCCCTATTGTTGTCGCAGAAATCTGTATCGGCTTTCGCAGCGACTACTGTGGCTAGAAAGATCGTTCTTCGTGTTGTACCAAGCACGAGGCGTCCTATTTAGGTCTTAGGTCTTATGAAGTCCACAGCCGTCAAAAATGTGGACTTAATAGTCTTAAGATTTGACGAACAATGCAGCCGGTAAATGACAGTATCCACGGTGGTGTGAAGGCCCATGCTACGTGATAGACGTCGCCGTTGTTGTATACTATGTGAGTGAGTTTCATCCAAGCGAACACAAACTAGCTCATGAACTACTATTTTGATCTGCTCTTGGGTGCCTTTTGATGTCCTGGCAGCTGCCCGTGCCGAGCACGTTTTGTCATGCCTTACTCAGGTCGGAGAGGATAGTTTAACTAAGGATCTCTCAGATGTTAGGGAGACTTCTGTAACTTTTGTCGAGTCTAAGGTTACCGTCGCTGTAGGGGGTCCCGCTCCAATGACATTCTGGCCCTTGAATTAGCGGCATAGTTTGCTGGGGCACTACAAATTCCAAAAAATGTTCAGTAACTATCCCACTGGTCTTTATCAAATGCAGCTCTGTTTCTCAGTAAGCTGCCTTCCGACACCGAAACAATAAGTGGACCTGGTGATTTTCGGTCCAACGTCCTTGTTCCTGATCTGTAGCATTTTTGGAAAAGTAGTGTTTCTGTATCCTCTACTTACACCCACCTACTGCTGCTTACTGTTAACAGATATTGAGGAGTTCAGGTTGGTGAATGAGTCAGGGTTGCGGCTGCCTTTGTAGCCTGTTTGGTTGGTTTTGTGCTGGACTAGTCGGGTTTACTTTGGGGAATTCGTAGGTTCAATTTAGGTGGGGCCTGTGTATATGCTGCTGGTAAATGTTTTGTCTCACTGATTCTGCACTGTTGAAGAATTTACCAGAACCGCGGATCGGGGTCACTGTGCATTAATCCATGGTACTATTTATGTGTTGCAGTGTCGCAGTCACAATGAAGACACGAACTGCAGAAGCTGCATTCAGATGCAGAGTCGCTGGTTTTGACTGGCAGTGATCAGGCAGGCTGTTTCAAGTGAGTCTTAGGATGCCTATTTTTCCTTTTCTACTGGTCTTGCTAGGAGTAGGAATCTCAGAGGGGTTGTTTCTTTGTTGAATGCTCAGTGGTGTTTGTGTCGAGTGGTCCAGGTTTTGTTTCCTAGGTTCACTATCGAGGGAAGTTTTGATTTTTCTCACAATTCTGTTGTTGGAGACTAGGATTATTGTCTCAATACTAATCCCGGAATTCACATATGTACTGGTTATCCTGCTTGTTTCAGTGTGAGAACTGGTAGCAACGCTGTTACTAAACATGTTGATTTTTCACCAGCCCTGTGTTCGCAAGTGACTGAATGGTTGTACACTGCCGAAGTAACAAAGAAGACAGCAGTTGATCGAGACGACCTGACCTGCTGCTCAGTAGTTCGGAATTAGGATCAACAAATTTGTCTGAATTGTTACTTTGACTGTCTACTAAAGAATGGACACAAAGTTTGTATCTTCTGAAATGTTTAAATGTCCCACTCTGGTGTAGAAAACTGGTTTGTTACCTGGGTATGGTGGGAGGTCAACGAGGACACTTCAAGGGACGATTTTCTACTTTTAGCCAGTTTACAATTTTTTTTTTCGACTCTGGCCGAGATGTGAAGTAAAGCTATAAAATTTATAGCAGTATGTATCTCCAATCTCGATAATCTCTCATTTTCTAGACAAACTAAAACAAAACCAGGTTTTCGATATAATCCAACGTGAGTAGTCAGTCCGTTCGACTAGACTACTGGTGAATCCGCAGGGTTGTTGTAGGTCGGTATGGTTTGAATATAAGTCCTATTATTCTCTTTCGGTTGTGTAGATTTTAAGACAAGCATCTGTTGTTTCACTAAATGCTAGTCTACCTGGTTACAATGAATGTTTTGATATTGAATTGAGGAGTGATAAAACAGAACAAAAACACCATAAATATGTATCAGAAAAAATAGAAGATCAATTTAATTGATAGAGACAGGAAAATGACTGTGATAATAAATACAGGGAATATACACCCTATATACATGCATGTCTGGATCACAGCTTGTATCTAGCGCGTTCCAATCGATCTTTCCCAACAGATTCACTATTGATCTCAACAAACCGCCCAAGAAAACTACTGTACACCTTCCCTATTTGTACTCTCCTATGGAAAATATGGCTGTACCATACTGTTTCTGTCAGTGACATGGTGTAAATACGCTATCAGAAACTGACTTATACTTGACTTAACTGCGATTGAATACGTGACAAAGGTAAGAAAAATACTTAAGACACTATCGGTATATTCACGCATCCAAGTAAAAGAGGATAATTCATGATTTTATAAGTGATTGACTGACCACTTGCTGAGGCAAACTGACTGGGGCTGTTGTCATACCAATCAAGCCGGCCCTCAAGACAGAGAAGACTTCTGGTAGAAAAAAGTCAAAAAAGGCCGGTGTTCTAGCTCCGGGGTTTACGATTTCTCTGTGTCTTCTTTGTATATTGTAATGAAAAGTATATTTGTGTAAGTAGCACTATGTTTTATATCATAATCATTTTGTCTCTTATTCTTTTTGAAATGCTGCTTCTGTTTCTTATCTGTTCAGAGATATTCCTTTATCAGAGGAAGTAAACGGCAATTCCATAAGGTTATAATACCTAAATGCACATATAGAAATTAGCAGATACCGGCTACCCCTTCGCACTTTGGCGGCATCACCAAACTGTTGCTATCCCTGTAGCGATATTCCTCTCCAGAGACCTTCAGAGTTTTTTAACGTTCGATATCAACAAATTAACGTACTTACGTAAGTCTGCATCAAAATTAGGAACAGTAGTGGCCACAAGCTAACTGTTTGTGATGATAAAGAAACTTATAATAGAATAACGATTACTGCATTGACAGTGAATTTAACAAATCACTTGCAACTACAGTGAGGAAGCAATGATCCCTAACTACATGATCCTGTGTTTCAGTCGCAGGTTTACTCAGGTCTGAGTAATTTAACATAGTAATAATCATATTTTATTACATGATAATAGTATCCATGTTCATCATTGCAGACCTATAACCTATAAAGTATCCAATGTGTAATAGTCTCTTGTCTAATGTAGAAACTATTCAGCTTGATGGATGATTTAGCCACGGCTCGGTGAAAGTTTATTGGCCCCGCAGAATATCTCGAAAACACTAGATCATCAGGACATTTTTAGAGAAAGCAGTCATACATATCGGTTACGGTAAGGACAAGTTTAGTCTTAACATCACTTAATCTCACCATATACTCGACAATTTCTAACATCTACTATTGTTTATTGTAAAAATCAGTCAACGCTTCCGTGAGACAGCGGGGATTAGTCGTCATGTTAATAAAATAGGATCACATTAAGCTTAAATTTGAATGGTGTGCCTCCATTCCATGGACATATTTAGCAAATCGAACGACAGATGCTCTAAGTAAATTATTTCGAGTAACTTCAAAAGCTGACAGAAATAGTTTTACTTCGGGCATTCTTATGTTCCTCCAATTCAGCAAAGCTAATATGCGGTAAGTGGAGTGTTAGTTATTTTATGACTAATTGTAGTTAGGCCGTAACTAGCCAATCAGATTGTGGTTTAAGCGCCCACCACGTGATCTGACCTGACTTGTCTGTAAACCTTCTTTGTTGTAAATGACCTACAAATTGATTGACATTACTATCTTATTATATTGATGTGACTCATAGCTGTACTCATTTCCATAAGACACGCTATATTGGTCGGTACGTTTGCTCGTCTTACTTGATAATTGTAATTTCCTTATTTATTGTACTACTGTAATTGTTTTTTATGTTTAGAAACAGATAAAGTTTGAAGCGAAGTTGATCTTCTAACTGTAGCTTTCAGTAGACTCTGTGCTCGCCAAAATTGTGTTTACCGTTCCAGAATTACATATCTAGGACAAATAAAATCCTATATGGAGTATCCACGTCCTTTTCAAAAGTGAAATACAGTTTAGTTAACTATCGCCGACTGCCAAAAGAGATCAATTTTAGTCAATATGGACATTATGTTTACTTACTGGTACTAAGATTATTGGCAACATTGTCACTTATAAGTGATTAAATAACAGTAAACATTTTATGCACATTCGTAGAATATTTTCGGCGAGTCGTAACTCCGATCATTGACTATAAACTCACACACGGTACTAGCCACGACCACAGTGACAATATGGATGCGGCAGTATCCAAAAATGTGATAGTAGCACGTTCGAGTAAGATCGATGGCGTCAATGTGTCAACTAAATTGACATGGTCGGAATTCGTCCACAAGAAAGTCAGATCATAGACTTGAAACTTCAATTACATTAAAAAGTTGTTCACACTAGTGTATAGATGGTTTACCCCTATGTATACTAACGAGGTTGCAAATTGATTTGAGGTTAAAAACTGTAGAGAAACTTTTGTTCTGCTCAGTTACATTTAAAATTGAACAAACAGATGTACCGTTCATATCCAGTCTTGCGTGTTGATGGGGTCAAATGTATCCGATTAACTATTTTCTTGAAAAGAATATGATAGCAATTGAAGTCTGACTTTACTCGAGAGGCTCTATATTTTTAGCGACACAAAACTTGCAGCAGTTCTCAGGAATCTAGTATAATGATGAGTTTTGATTGTTTTCGGGCGGCTGAAGCAATAGGAGTAATAGTTTTTGTGTTTTGAGGTTAGTCCTTGGTTTCTGTCGCTCTATTTCCTTTTTAAATTGCCCTCGTTACCGACAAAAGGCGTCCTAGGGCTGGGCGCCACCTTAGAAGTAAGCAGTATCCAACAGTTTGAAACATTCAAGCTATTCGCTCCTAATTTCGACTTCCAGGTTCCGTGAATCTGATACTTGCGTGTTTAGTGGTTGTTAATTATTACTAGTCTGATTAAAAGTCGGTGCATTTTCTGAGCTTGCTGGGTCACCGACTTGCTTCTATTCTATTATGCAGTTCTAGCTCACGCTATTGTGCATGCTCCTCTAGTACACAAACTGCTAGACATTACATGTTCCGAGTAACCTGTAATAATATAAATAACGTTAACTTTATTAAATTACTTTGAGGAAGTATATATTCATTCGGACATATCTAATGTTAGTTTCTGTAATAAGGATAGCGGGTTGATCGTCTTGTGTTAATGCTTGCAGATTGTCATTGAAGATCCTGCTTTCTTTTAGTTTGTTCGCTAATGAGGCCAATACCATGTATTCGGGTCAGGCGTTCCAATAATCATCTGCATGATGTTAGGAACGGAATCACAGTGTTCGAACCTTCTTGCAGTGGCCTCTAGGATGGTTAGTTCTGAAGGTCCGGGTAACCACGTAGTTTCATTGGCCCTTGCACTTGAAGTGTAGCTCAAGTATCTAGGGTTGATTTAATTTATCCTGAAGCTACTAGCCACCTACTTTTTTATCATTTACTCGTCTAATTGGTTGACTGAATCCTAACAAACCCACCTAATTGTCACGTTTATGATTTTAGTCGTATACTTGTATGACCAATACACTAGAATTACACATTGACTGTACACTATCATGATTAAGTTCCGATAAGGGCCAAAGATCGTACAAAATGAACTATATTAAAATGCATGGAAAAATAACTATGCTAAAAATTCTCTCACGATTATGGGTTAGACGAATGAAAGGTGCACTTCCATTTTATCTCGTGCTTTCTTGTACTCACTTGACTATGTCTTTCGTCCAGCTCATCTTAGTTTCGTCTTTTTATCGTTTCTTGTAATCTATCACAAATGTTGGTTAAGCCAGATGTTCTGGGTTCTATATAATTTAGACGTCTAGATAATTTTTGGCATTACTTGTATGTTGCAATCTTGTTCTTCTATGCCAAATGGCTGTAAACTGATTTGATGTTGTCTTCTTTTAGCCTGAAATATAAATTTAAAAGTCGTTCGCGTGGTTGAAAATTTGTTATCGTTACTTTTGACCGGTAATAACATGATGCTATATTTCCCAATTATTGTGGATACCGAGCCACTATAAATGTCAGTTGATTATGCATCCAAGCTGTCGTACTATCCCAACAAAGGTGTTTCTGGTATACCTGAGGTTTTTGATGATGATTCTCAACTGAATTCCAAACTCGGTGAACTTGCTAATCTGGTACGTCAATCCTCGTACATAGTTGTGCATACTGGAGCTGGTATTAGCACATCAGTAGGTATACCAGACTTTCGAGGTCCTAACGGTAAGTTTCACCCCTGCAATGACTACTCCTTTTAGGTGTCTGGACATTGGAGAAAGTTGGGAAGAAACCTAAACTTTCTGTGCCTTTCGAAAAGGTGATTCCATCACTAGCACACCGAGCTCTTGTTGAGTTAGAAAAACATGGTATTTAGAAAAGAAACCTTTCTTACGTCTCCAGATATTGTCAAATTTTTAGTAACTCAAAATATTGATGGATTGCATCTGAGATCTGGCTTTCCAAGAGACCGTTTGGCTATTTTGCATGGTGATATGTTTCTTGAGTCATGCAAAGCTTGTGGGACATTGTATGCTCGATCCACACCTTCAGAATCAGTGGGTTTGCGGCAGTCATCAGTTGCATGCACCTATTTGAAACCTAACAAACGGTGTTGCAGGTGTGTTAATATATATTCGTGTAACATTTATAACAGAGGCAAACTGCACGATACTATTCTTGACTGGGAAGATGACCTGCCACTTTTGGATTATAACTTGGCAATAGAACATTCAAAGTTAGTCTTAAGATTTAAAAGTTGAGAATACAATTCTTAAGAGTATTTTTCAAGGTTTATGCTGTAACTTTTCTTATTTTTCAGGAAAGCAGATCTTCACATATGTATTGGCTCATCACTACAGATGTTCCCGGCTGCCGATTTTCCTCTTACAAATGTTTGTAAAACTATGAAGTACAGCAGTGACAAAAAATCTTCGTCTTTCGTTCATAGTTGTAATAAAACTGAAAGCTCAAAGGATCCTGGCTCAAAACTAGTAATTATTAATCTACAGCCAACAAAAATGGCTAAATACGCGACTTTGAACATTCATGCAACCGCTGACTTCGTAATGAAAATATTGTGTGAAAAGTTGAATGTCTTGATCCCATCCACATCTCCACTCAGTGATGGTTTATATTCGCCATCAATTGTTTTACGGTAATTTTCTTACTACAGCTTGTTTATTTCATCAATTTTTTTCTATGACTTCTCGCTTTGTCACTAGCTGTTTTCCACACTTTATTTTAATATTCTGAAATGCCGAAGGCTTATAGTTCTCGTGAATGGTTTTGTCGAACTTGATATCTCCAAACTGGATGAGGCTTTCATTGTCTTCTTAAATATAACAAACTTCCGATGGAAATGAAGTATGCGAATTTCTCCACTAGATACTAGCAGCTCGTTCTGTTGATCATGAGGTTAATTAGTTAATGGTAACGCTTATGTTCTCATTATCAGCCTATATGTTTTGTTTATCCTCCCTCTTGAAATAATCGTTTATGATTTTCCTAGTCAGTCAGTCAGTCAGTCAGATGCAACGTAGAACTTTGTACATAAGTACATCAGTTCATGTTGCCATACCACATCTGCACAGAGAAGTAATCGTCAATTCAAATCCAATAGTAGAAGAGGTAGTAAGGGAATTAGAAGTAATCGGAGAGGTTAGGATTAGAAGATACTATTCAAGAAGTATGATTCAGTCAGAAAAGTTTAGAGAGTCGAAACTAGAGGTGTTGAAGAATCCAGAAGATTAGGGTTTGAGAGAACACAAAGAATAAATGCACCGGCGCCATTGCAAACGATTTTGAGCCATGTCATTCAAGGTCTCTAACCATCGATTATTATCATCTCGCGGACCCCAACCTGGTAGTCGACAATTACCTACATGGCTCAGTCCACTAGTCAATGACTTTATGGATTTCTGCCATGTTTTGGTTTGGCCGCCCCTAGCTTTCTTCCAACCTATTCCTACACTACAAAACAAGGCTCGACGAGGCAGTCGGTGGTTGGGCATACGCAACACATGTCCCAACCACCTCAACTGGTGAAGTTTCAATACTTCATCGATTGATCTGCCATTCTTACCTAGCACCCGATTCCTAATAACAGCGTTGCTCACTCGGGTGTTCCACGATGTACGAGCAATGCTTCGAAGACACCTATGATCGAAAACCAGTAACCTACGAATATCTTCTACTCTCACTGGCCATGTTTCACAGCCATAAAGTAAGACGGAGCGAACCACTGCGCAGTACACTCGTCCTTTAGTCAGCAAACGGATATCTCGCCTACGCCATAAGTGACGCAGGTTGGCAAAAGCCAATCGAGCCTTCTGTATCCGAGCTGAGATTTCGTCAGTCACCCGACCGAAGCTGCTACCTTGACCTGGTGGTCGGGCTTGCCTATCGTGATGACCCAACCGAGCTATACTGCCTGGAACATATGTTCCTGCAGGTCCTACCATGCCAGGCTGGTCGATTGGAGAACGATGAGACTAAAAGCAACTACCCAAGGTCTGAGGGCTAAGTCGTACTGCTGACTGCAGAGGGGTGTGACAGCAGTAAGGTGTTTCCCTCGGACAACCAGCATCTGCAGCGATGCTGCCTTCTCACAAGGAAGGAAGAGTTAGAAAAGGTCGGCCCTAAAAATGTCACACCTCCCGTAACTCATGGATTTCCATCTCCCTGGGTAAGGGTGCCCTTTAAGGGCCTTAAAGAACGGAGCTAATCCTCTAAATACCTTTCATAAAAAGGCCGTGCGTGACCGGCCTCAAGCAGTTGTCCCTTGGACTCTGCGGTCACGCACCAACACTAATCCATCTTCCTTTTCAGGTCCCTCAAGAAACAACCTTCCACGGTGTGGGCAGCCGGGAAGTGACAACCGCCCTCATACGCGTAACAGCACGCGAGACCGAATTGGTCAAAATCAAATCCTTCCTACACCCCCTAATGTCTCTCTTATGATTTTCCTAGCTAGAGGATGAATTAAATTAGTGAAGTAGTATTGTTGTTTAGACATATAGCTCAAAGTTGATAACATAAACTTATAGATAATGATTTAAAATTTAAATCAGGAGTATATAAAAATAAATTTGGTGAAAAATCTGTCTTTAATGTATCGATACAATGTCAAATGTGGAAAAGTGATTACAGTCCTTATTGAGAAATATTTTATACTTTCATTCTGAATCCGAAAAAAATTCATTAAAAATCTGGACAAACCCTTCAATTTTATTCTTGGAAAAATAATAACATAACTAGTGTTTTGGAGCAGTATTTCGTAAAAACGGTCATATTTACACCTAACCAAGTAGGATTTTTTTTAGGACTGTTAATTGAGATTGTTTGTGGTTTGGTGTGCAAAATATTAGGTGTCTCTAAAATTCTCAAAATATTCCTTTAATTTTCTTTCTTAAGGTCAATGCACTCCAATTTGAAAGTGCCATGTTCATGGCGTATTCTCCCGCATCCATCCAATGAACATACAATCCATATTGCTGAAACTGGTAACCAGTCTATGGACCTGAAAATAAAAAAAGATGATGAAACGAGTTGTCTATAGTGTGGAACTGTTTCAAATAAGTCATGTTGTGATTTTTTTTATTTCACGCATCTAAAGAAAAATCAACGTTTTGACCACTTTTCCTGCGCTAATGTTTATTTTTGAAATTCAATAAATGATAACCTATTTTTTTAGTTTTCTCAATTATTGGATATCTCAGGTTCCCAGTTGGAAATTAATATAAATTCATTTAAATTATTTCTCTGTATTATACTTCCAGCTATCCATGACTTGCAATCGTCATGGTTGGATTATCTATGTACTGCTCTTAGGCATACGGTTTCTGTTTGTGTTCAATTTACAGCCGGGTTATTTACATCCAGATGAATATTTTCAAGGGATTGAAGTTGCTGCGGGTGACATTTATAATCGGAATGTATTGAGGACATGGGAATTCCACTTAGATGATAAAGGTCCTCTCAGATCTGTAGTTGGAATGGCACCTTTTGTACATATCCCAATTCAAGCTGCCAAATGGATTTATAATGGGTTCAATTCCAAAAGTAAGGTTTCTGTCATTTAAAATTTATCACTTGGATAAAGTTTTATGTATTTCTTGCTCAAATCGTCTTTATTCTCAGAATAATAAGGAGGATAATAATCAGCTGTAGAGAACTAGATGATCTAGACTTCTGTAAAGTATAATTTTAGACAGGATTAGTAGATAACTCTACCTAGAGCCCTTCTAGGATTATTGCTGATCCCAAGCCCGGAAAAAGGTGGGGGGGGGACATGGGGTTAGTGACCCCATCCCGTACAAAATTAACACAAGATGTTCTCACAGCGTGAGGGACTGGAAGAATCATTGAAGTTGCTGTGGAAATAAAAAGATACAACCTGGTGGTGCGTGGGATCAGTGAAGCACATTGGACGCAGGCTGGAAAAAAAAGATAAGCTTAAGGAAAGATGCTGTTGTATTCCAGTCCTGAACATAATACCACACACACACACACACACAGAAGGACTGAGGAAGCACGAACCGCACTGGTGGGATGGGAATTTCACGAACCCAGGATCACCAAAGCATCTTTTTCAAGATAACGAAAGAGAGGATTAACATCAACGTCATCCAGTGCTATGCGTCTACCAACGATAACGATGAGTATATTAAAGATTAATTCTATGAGGCTACAGTCAATCGTTGCAAAATGCTCAGCAAAGGGTTGCACCATTCTGATAGAAGACGTAAATGCTAAGGTTGAATTGGACAACACAGGATGGTTAGACTTCATGGGACTACAAGCTTAGTAATTGGCTGAGAGATATGCGGTGAGAATATTCGTACTCCACTTAGAAGGAATTCCCGAAAGAACTGGATTCTATTGTCAATAAAGTAATTTGTATCTCTGGTTCGGAGTGAAACACATTTTCGTACTTCTAATGTGCAACCGTATTATGTCCTGAAGCTGATAAACCCATATATTCTATTTCTTCCTCATTTGGTAGCGTCTCTTTAATAACAAAATAGTGGCATTTATCCTTCTTATAACTCCTGACTAGCCTCTGTTTCAGAACTTCCAATTGGATTGCTGCCGTTTACCAAGTTTCGTTGCTCGTTTGAGTGTGCAGTTAATGAGGGGTAGCTATTTATTTAGTCAGCATTGCAATGTAATTACGATGTCCTTACTGAGTTTATAACGCTGTTTTGTTTGTATGCATCACTTTTTATCATCCTGCAATTATCTCCAATATTACAATCTGTTTATTTTTTTTTAGCTGAAAAAACTGACTTCAGTGGATCTGAAATGTTTAATAGAATTCTGTTTCCCTCTCGGTTGGTCACTGTACTTAGTTCATGTTTAGTCGATATTTTCATATTAAGCTGTTGCATATATGTTGGTCGTCATCGGTTTTCAGTAAAGCTAACTAAAATTCAAGAAATTATACATTCTGTGCGAAATCATTCTGTACCAACAGCTTTATTAATTTATGCATCATGCGCATTCGGTGGGAGTTTATGGTCTACGCGTACAATTGCCAATGTATGGGAGTCTATTTATGTTTCTTTATTTGGTCTACTATTCTTCGAAATTTTAAATCGTTTAGAACAATCATCAGATGCTACTGTAAATAAACAATGCTTAATTAGTTTTTTATGTATTCAGTCTGCAATTGTTGTATGGGGTACATTCTTACGACCTACTTATCTATTGTTTATTCTTCCTTTAGGAATTATTGAATTAGCATTTATCTTAGTAAAGTTTAGGTACGTTTCTATATTTCTTTTTTTACCAGCTATTTTGTTTGCTTTTCTCAATACATTATTTTGCATAGTAGTAGATACGTTATATTTTCATAATGTGAGTTTATTACAGGCTTTTCAGGTTGATTTTTCACGATTTCAGTTAATCTGTACACCTTGTCGGTTTTTATCTTATAACTCTAACTCACACCATGTTTCTTCTCATGGCTTACATTCTCGATTTACACATTTCTTTATTAATTGGCCTTTAATGTTTGGACCTGTTCTTGCCTTACGCTTATTCATTCAACCTTTACGACGTCGTTCATTATCATTGTGTATTGCTTGGATCAGTGTGGTATTTCCTACATTAATTTTATCTATTATACCTCATCAAGAAGCACGTTTTCTTATTCCATGCCTGCCTTATGCTTGTTTCATCGTTGGCCAAAGTATTGATATCGAAGTGAGACGTAGAAACCGGAAAATGTTTTCATGTGCTTGTATGATTACTGTTGTTCTGTGGATATTACATCAATTTATCCTAATTTTATATTATGGCTATTTACACCAAGCTGGTTTATTTTCCTATATGAAAACCATTCCAAATAATGTAGTTGAGTGTGTCACTTATGTATTCTTCAAAACTTACATGCCACCTCACTTTCCATTAAGTATACCGTTTGAAAAATCTTCGCATTATCCATCACAGTCTTGCCAATCACTTATCGATCTAGGAGGATCTAATTTGACAGTTTTGAATCATACAATAAACCATCTTAAAATATATCGAAATTTCTCAGGTATCCTTAAACTGGTGAGTTTAGCTACTCTTATGTTTTTGATTAGAAGTTTGTTTTGTACTGTATTTCTGTAAAGAGTGAGTGAGTCAATACTATATAATTTACCCTATGAGTTGAATCTTAAAGAGGCAAAAGTTCTAGACAATTAATCCTGTTTGCCAAATGATGCATCTTTAGTTTGAACCTTGCTCAGCTTAGTATTGGCTATAAAAGCCGAAAATATCATGAACTTCTGGTTCATTGTGTTTGTATGCATTTATTGTGTGGAAATATCTGAATGTATTTTGGAAAAGACCCGAAAGAAATCATACCTTAACCACTTGTTTCTTTTTGTCAAATGGAACTGTTGAATATATTTGAAGTTATTATGCCTTAGTGACTTTATTTAGATTGGTGGTTTGCGAAGATGATTTCAATGAACTGATATTAACTGAATAACTGTTAAAGACCATAAGACCCGGGATAGCTGTTTTGTTACAGTTTGAAACTGTTCCGCAATACGAATCCATAACTCTGTTTCGATTGAAAACCAAAACTTTTAACATTCAATTACCACTTGTGATATGTGTGTAAAACCGATTCAACCTGATTCTAGTTTACTGGATACTATTCTAGCCATTTAAAAATAAGCACAACTCAAGGTTAAGTCAGTCAGTCAGTTGCAACGTAGAACTACGTACGTATGTACATAAGTTCATGTTGCCATACCACATTAGCACAGAGACGCAAATGTCAAATCAAATCCCATAGTGATAAAGGTAGTAGAGGTATTAATGTTAATGAAGAAGACTAGGGTTTGAAGATATTATTCAAGAAGTATAATTCAGTGAGATAATGTTAGAAAGACAAAGGTAGAGGTGCTGACGAATCCAGAAGATTGGGATTTGAGAGAGCTCAAAGAATGGATGCACTTGCACCATTGCAAACGATTTTGAGCCATGTCGTTCAAGGTCTCTAACGATTGGTGACTTTCGTCTCGCGGACTCCAACCAGGTAGTCTACATCTACCAACATGACTCAGTCCACTAGTCAGTGACTTCATGGGTTTGTGCCATGTTTTGGTCTGTCCGCCCCTAACTTTCTTCCAACATACTCCTACACCACAAAACATAGCTCGTCGCGGCAGTCGGTGTTTGGGCATTCGTAACATATGTCCCAACCACCTCAACTGGTGAAGTTTCACCACTTCATCTATTGATCTGCCATCCTTACCTAGAACTCGTTTCCTAAGGACATCATTGCTTACTCGGTTGTCCCACGATATACGAGCAATGCTTCTCAAACATCTATGATCGAATACTAGTAACCTACGAACATCTTCTACTCTTAACGGCCATGTTTCACAGCCATATAAGAGAACGGAACGAACTGCTGCGCAGTACACTTGTCCTTTGGTTAGCGAACGGATATCACGCCTACGCCATAAGTGACGCAGGTTGGCAAAAGCCAATCGAGCTTTCTGTATCCGTGCTGAGATTTCGTCAGTCATCAGGCTATCAGCGCTGATTAGACTCCCGAGATAAGTGAAGCGGTCAACACGCTCGACTACTTCACTCCCTTTCACTAGTTTAGATGCCGATGCAACCCAATCTTGAAGCAACATTTTGCATTTCGAGGGTGAGAACTGCATCCAGAACATGCTCGGATTGTTGCTTATGGTAGTCGGGAGACTCTGCATTTTGTCAGAGTGTTCACCGAATAGAACTATGTCATCGGCATATTCTAGATCAGTAAGCGAATTTTCTGGTAGAAGGTCAACCCCTGAAAGATCTGACGAGCTTAATGTTAACTCTAAGAGGATGTCTACGACAAAGTCAAACAAGAATGGAGAGAGTGGACAGCCCTGACGGACACCACATGATGTAGAGAATTCAGATGACAGTTCGCCATATGCTCTCACTTGATCAGTGCTGTTCGAGTAGAGGGCTTGTATAAGGTTAATCTACTTCTTTGGTACACCTTTGAATGCTAGTGTAATGAAAAAAGCAGTTAGTTTAAAGTGTGTGATGTATTTGCTCCATAATTTAAAGATAGTCTGGTCATTTAAGAATCCAAGATTTGTCTGTTACAATGGATAAAATAGTTATATTATGTCTCTGTAATGATTGCTAATTTCTTTTTGTACATTTAGGCCTACCCTGGTTCTATACTACCATTGGACAACTCAATTTTATCCTCTTGGGGTTATGTCATTATGTCTGAACAGTTCTTTCCACATTTATCAATGGAGGATCCACCTTTTATTCAGCAACCTTTTGTTTATGAAAACTGGAAATCTCAATTATCATTACATGTACTAACAATAAAGGTTTAACTAAACTAAAATTTCTTCTGTATATATACGCTCATGTACTTTTTACATATTGATTTTGTTTCATAAATTTCTTTGTAAGTTATTCTTTCGTTCTGATTTACAGTCTTGGTGTACATTGAATTCCAGAATTGTTTGCTTTGAGTATTTTTTGATGATAATGATGATGCTTATTAGTGAGAAATCCAAAACTTGTTAGTTTAGCTGGTCTTCCACTTGAAATATCATATATTCAATGTATATTTTCAGTCAATCACTCATGATTAGTGTGTGGAGTCTGGCACATACATATATTGGCTCAAGTTATCTTTACGCAGCACAATGAGATGAATTTGATAAGATAAATAGCTAAGGAATGAAAAGAGAGTATAACAGAAATTATTCAACCTTTTGAAGTTAGAAATATCTATCTATAAATACAAAATTGAAATACTTGACGTGATTGTGTTCATAAGACAAATTAATTTGACCATGCAACTGAATGATATCACTGGTTGCTGTTGAATTAATTTTCTTCAGTACACGTCTGACTGGTAATTAAAACACAACTTATTGTGCTTAAATAGACCCCCTGTTTTTTCGAATACCAATTATTATTACGTCAGACTAAATATTATTCTTAGTTAAAATTCACAAAATTTTCGGATACAGTTTTGTATAACATGACATCATTATCATTATTCATTTATTATTTCGTCTGATTGATTTATAGTGAATGACATCAGTTGGAGGTAATTTCATGTGATAATGTTTACTTTTCATAATTTTATACTGAAGGTATAGAACGTTAGGTATGCATGTTTTTAGTGAATGTGTGATTACTACTACAATGAGTGTGTCTGCCTTTGCTTGGATAGTGAATAATTGCCAATATTTAATGATTTTTATCTCTACACATGTTCATTCCTCTTAAGGAGCCCGACACCTTCGGAATGACGATTAATAATCATGCTTTATTCGAAACATCAAACCCCCTAACAGATTCTATCAAGCATTTACCAGGGATTGCGTTTGAAGGTCGAGTACCTGACCATTTTCAAAATGGGGAGTTATTTCATGCACCTGCTTCACTACCCAAATTGACTCCATCCCCAGAAATTAAGAGTAGATCTCACTTATCCAGGATAAACAATACACCATTGGTTTTGAATATTACTAATCCGGCATTTTCAACAATTAGTTCATCCAGATCAACAATTACCAATGATTTTAATGGATTATGGGTGAGCTATTGATTCTATTACTCTAAATTTTATTATATACTTCATGTACACTCTGTAACTAATTAAAAGTGTGGTTGTAGAATGAGTTTATCCCTCAGTTTTCATCAAAATCACCGAAACGATTAATTTTATCATTGATTCTGAGAAAACTAACCTAGGATTTTCAACCACTGATATGTTTAACTCTTAAACCATACCAGAAAGTTTATATTCTCTGTCTATAACTGAAATCAATAGAAATTATTCATATTCATATTATTTCCAAATAATTGTGTTTCTATGTTCCTAGTTCTTTCACTCCAGAATATTCTTAAATTCAACCCCTTTACTATTCATAGCATATAAATATTATCTCTTATAGTCTCTATTACTCTTTCATCAATCTACACTGATGAGCACTTTCTCTACATTATGAATATAAAGTAGGTTCATTGATTTTTAATGCTTAAACTATTATGTTTAGGTTGTAAGCAGCTAAAGAGAAACCCCGAAATAAAATGAATTCATGTTATTCTGCTACATTCATTGTTCTTGCTTTATTCAAGGTCATTTTAATACTTAAACTTGTCAGGCATATTTAGTGCTATTTCGTAAAGTTGTGTTGCATTGTATTTATTTATATCGGAATAAATTTACGAGCTTTCTTAGTGTTGACTTCTTTGAGGTTGATTTTCTAATAAGCCTAATGTGCTTAACAATGGCTTCTACGGGGTCAGTCTTCCTCTCTACAGCAACTGATGTAGACGTAGAACGTACTGTTGTTATGTAAGTACTGTTTAAATGTAAGGCAGTGTATAATTATCACAGGTATGTTCATGGTTTTTTCGAAAAATTCATTTACGTCACTTTATTACTTAATAATAATAATATATCCTTGCAAAATTCAAGGAGTCTCTTTAGATAGTCACTTCTCGATTCCTCATCACCTCTATCTTTTTCTTTTAAGTTTATTTCACTAGATTCTACTTCTTCAATAATATGGTCGAACCCTAATCGCTTCGATTACTGCTAATACCTATACTTCTTCTACTACTGTGGGATTTGAATTGATATTTGTGTCTGTGCTAATGTGGTATGAAAACGTGAACTGATGTACGTACGTACGTACGAAGTTCCCCGCTACTGTTGATTGATTGATTGATAACAACAGGCTTGATACTGTATTTGAATTGTTTGTTGTTAATTTATACTGAAGCAGCTGTATGGTACTACGGTATATTTAAAATATAGCGATTTCAATGACTGGATTATCACCCAGTAGATCTGGGATAATATGATCTGAGTTAGTCGTGGTAATCCCAGTTTAATCTCTTTGAGAGTTTTGAAATGAGTACTGTATCACGGGTGTGCAAGTATTTTGAGCTTCTTGGCTACACACACACACACACACATCTGATCCTTGTTAGACTATTTTCAAGTTACTTTACATCGAAAGTCTTTAGTAGTTCGAATCAACAAACTGAATTTCTTTTGTTTATATGTAGACGTCAAGTGTCCCACTGTCTAACCATATTATCAATAAAAATAATGATTATTCACCAATGCTACAAAATAAAAGCTTCACTCCGAAACCAATGTCCACTCAACAAGGTTCTCTTACTCCAACAAATATAATCAATGATCAAACAGTTGTTAAAACCCTGAAGTTACCGATTTGTTCTGTGGTGAATAGTGTTCCTGTTACCATTCCGAACCATAATACTTTGTCTGCATCATGTGCTTCTCCAGAAAGTGTAAAAACGGCTGTATCAAATCGAGTAAGTTAGTGTTTCATCCCGTACTATTTTTTACTCGATTGCCTCATTTTGCTTTGATCACGTGATCACTGATGTAGTTCAGAAAGCATTGTGATCAAGTTACCTTATTGAAGTGTTTGTTTCCATTGATTTTTGGAAATGTTTCTCAGCCCATTTTACCCCAGCATGCCAAATATTTATTTTTAATCTCTTTGTAAACTGATACATGTTATGTTGCACGTTTTACTGATAGTGTTCAGGGTGTTTCAACCATACACTTATTTTACTTATAGATGGTAGCTTATTGTTGTCTTATGAATTTCAGACACTTGCTTGGACATTCTGTTTTTTAGTTTATTTTCTACTATGGATGATGATTTTTTTTGACGTTGGCACTCTTACTTTTATCAATTATTTCAGTCAGTCAGGAAGTCAGCTGCTACGTGGAAATTGATACGTACGTGTATCAGTTCATGGTGTCATATCACATCAGTACAGAGAGATTGCATTGTCAATCCAAATCCCATAACGGCAGAGGTTGTAGTAGTGGTAATGGAAAAGATTCAGTACCAAAGATATGATATGATTCTAGAAGTATAACCCTGTGAATTAAATTTAGAAAAAGAGAAAATACAGATTATGAGGAATTCAGAAGATTCGAATTGGAGAGAAGATAAGCAATAAGTGCATCTGCACCATTGCAAATGATTGCGTGCCACGGTTATAATTGTCTTGTGGACCATAACCTGGTTGTCTACTCCTACTAACATAGCTCCGTCCAGCTGTTGATGACTTCATAAATTTATGTGATGTTCAGTTTTGTCCGCCCCCATCATCCTTTCAGCCTGCTCCTACATCAGACAGCATAACCCATCGACGTGGTCGGTGGTTGGGCATATGTAACAACAGAATTATTCCGAGGTAGGGGAAGGATTTGGTCCTGAACAAGTTGATCTCGTATCCTATTATGAGCATGAGGGCGGTTTTCGTTTCCCCGTCCCCCACACCGTGGAAGTGTATTTCTTGAGGGACTTGAAAAAAAAGCTGTGTTAGTGTTGATCTTAGTGAACTGGGGAAGCGATGGCAGAGCCCAAGGCACAGCTGCTTGAAATCGGTTGCACATTACCTGTTATTGAAAGTTTTGTAAGTGTTAGGTCCGCTCTTCAAAAAGCCTTACCTTCGGGGACGGAAATTCGTGGACTAAGGTGAGGTGATATTTTCTATGTTCCATCAGAATAAGATGAAGTCACTTCACTTTATTAGGTTCTGATCAGCTGATTACAACCTGTAATATTTGAAAATCATAATTGCAAAATTTTTTGCTAATAATCACACAAATGACTTCAGTTGGAAGTTGTTTGGAACACATTGAAGTATAGTATTGTACGTCCTTGTTATATGCTGTATACTATGTATGCCTAACCACCACCAACCTCGACAAGCGGTGTTGCCTTATGTAGTAGGCTGGGGAAAGCTATAGATGGCTAAATCAAGACGTGATACCAGTCCATGAAGCCGTTGGCAATTGGACTGAGGCATGTTGATAGGTGTAGACTACGCAGTTGGAGTTGGCGTGCTAATCAAAACCAATGATTAAAGACTTTGAATGACTGCTCAAAATCATTTATCATAATACAGTTATATCCATTCTTTGTTTTTCCTCATATTCCAAGCTTCTGAATTCCGTTTAATTTTTTCTGTTTTATATTTCGCTGATTGAATTTTTTGTTCAACCATACTTTTTTATCCCCTCAATGATACTGTTACTACCTCTACTACTATGGTATTTAGTCTGACATATTGATTTCTCTGTGTTAATGTTGTTTGGCAACTTGAACTGATGTATGTACGTACCAAGCTGTACGTTGTATCGCTTTGACTAATTGGCTGACTTGGATATCATTTAGCACTACAGGATTTTGATAGTATAGTTACTTTTTATTTATTTTACCTTCTATCTTTCAATAGTCACTTCGTGGTGGTGTTTCGTTCTCTGAGCTGGATATTTTGGTTGTGGAGCTTTCATTGTTGTTCTTCTGAACAACATCATCAGCACAAAGTTCAGATAGGAGAAGTGAAGTATTCGAATTTCTCCACGTTTAACCTGTAGCTTGTTCTGTTAACCTCGATCTTGATTGGTTGCTGTTGACCTTAAATCTGTTGTTGTTGTTTGCACCTTTGTTTTGATTATATCCCCCTTTTGATCACTTTATTCACTAACAACAACATAATGACTAAAAATAATCCTGTTATATGTTATAATATTATAACCATACATCAATGCTTTTTACATTATTCTGTATTATTTTTCAATAGACATTGTGTTTTATGAATTCGAGGAATGACGCAAAACCACCAAGTGTATGTGTTCATTCAACATTAATTCATCAACGAATCCAGTCGAGTGTTTCAACTTCAGGTTAGCAGTAATTGTTTATTATAATCGTACTATTCACTTTGATTTATTTAGATTGTTTAGTTTTCTTACGATAAATACAGAAGCGAGATGCAACTGGCATAAATTGAAATCTTACAACCCACTAGTAATAAGGATATTTCTCTTCAGATATAAAGACTATCAAATTGTGTATCCTACCTAGACACATATGTCTTTTAAAGGATCCCATCCTGTGTAATAAAATATGTCTACTACTTTCATTCACCAGTAAAGTTGACTAAAAGTGCACAATGAATGTTGTGATGTTTGTAAACTAGCCATTTGTTTTTTTTATTATCGGGGACATAATTCCATATAAATTGAATATCACCTTTCCACGGTGTGGGCAGCCTGGAAGTGACAACCGCCCTCATACCTGTAACAGCACGCGAGACCAAATTAGTCAAAATCAAATACTTCATTCACTCTCTAACATCTCTCTTATCTCCACGACTAACTCTACTCACATTCCTTAATCACCCTGCACTGCTAATGCAAACGATGCGAGTTCACGAAACGTTATTCCTAGTCTCCTGAAACCCCGTTCTAAACTACATGTTGGAGCTTTTAATGTACGGACATTGTGTCAACAGGCATCATTAGCTAGGACTTTAGAATCTCGCTCCATCGATGTATGCTGCGTCTCGGAAACGCGCATACAGGATCCTAGTAAAGTTATTAATCTGATTTCACCTTGTCAAAATAAAGAAGCAGCTCGATTTACTCTTCGTGTATCTGGAAGCCCTGATGCTGCTTCCCGGGGTCTCGCTGGTGTGAGTATAGCATTGAGTCGTAGGGCAGAACTATCTCTCCTAGACTAAATCCATGAAATCACTAACAAGTAGACTGAGTCATGTTGGTAGATGTAGACTACCTCTGGTTGGTGTCTAACGTTCGGGGGTCATTAATACAGTGGTTTGGCGTTACATCAAGCAGAAAACATAAAAGAGACGAAAGTCATCAATGGTTGGAGACCTTAAACGACATGGCTCAAAATCGTTTGCAATGTCACAATGCATCCATTCTTTGTGTTCTCTCAAATTCTAACCTTCTGAATTCCTCATCATCTCTATCTTTCTCATTCCAACTTTATCTCACTGAATTATACCCTAATCTTCTCCATTACTGCTAATACTTCTACTGTCGCTACCACTATTGGATTTGAACTGACAGTTGCATCTCTATGCTAATGCGGTATGGCAACCTGAACTGATGTACATACGTACGAAGTTCCGTGTTGCATCTGTCTGTCTCTGTCTGTCTATCAATTGAATATAAATCATTCACTGTCTATGATAATTGTAGACGTAATATATATATGCGTAGATTTCATAACGTACAAAAATTAACCATTTCATAAAAATAACATGTTTCATCTGCATAGATTGGAACATTTACCACCATTTACATGTTTTTAATTAATCTTTTACAATAATGTTGTGTTTTCAACCACCATACGCTATAACCGTTTTCTGTAACTATAATTAGAATTCTGCCTTTAGTGTAACACTATTTAGAATTGTTGGTAGTCTGAACCTCTATTCCAATCGTAGCTAAATAGTTTGTTTTAAGACTGTTTACCAAGACCAAAGTGAGGGTGAATAGAGGGGGGGGGTTTCACATTTGCCGTACGCATCATTATTTTAGTAGTCTGATTTCACTTTGCGTTCTTTTCATTTATTAACTATAGGTTTAAATTCTTGTGAAACAATACCTTATTATCATTCTCATCTACTTAGAAAATCGGGGAATGTTTCACAAGTTGTAAGTTGTTTTGCTGATTCTTCTATTTTAATGTTTGTTCACTTGAATGACTACAGGAGACTGTAGTGTTAATAATGTATGTTGCCGAAAGGAAACTTCCTATTGTTATCATGTTTTTATTCAACCAACAACACTATTTTATTCAAGTAACTGAATTTCGATGCTTACCGATCTACAACCAATGTTTCTGATGTGTAGGAGGGATTGAGTGTTCCATTTAGTACAATTTTAATACGTAACTACTAAATCTATCACGTCAAGCTGGCAGGTGTCTCTGGGCATTCGATATTTAAACATACTCAGAGGTGTATAGTTTCAGCCAGATGCTCCTATTCCATGTCTTGTCGTAGATCATAAATCCCAGTATACTCTTTCATTTGTACCTTTTCATTATGTGTTTTTGAACCATATTCTAAATACTCGATCTTTCTTGTTACGGTTGCTACTACGTTTTATCCCACTGTGCTAATATGGTTTGACAGTTTGGATTATCGCGCGGTTGGTTGTGCCAGGGTCTTCTACATGGTTTATGAATGATCAGCTGACAATCTAAATGTCAATAATCTCATCAAAATGCATCCATCAAAAAACTCTTGTGTTCGTTTTCCATAACTAAAAAAAGCACAGAGAAATTCATTGCATGCCTTTTACTGGAACATTCTAGACTAGCCCTGAGCTTACTTTATGTTATTATCTATCAAGTAGTGTTTACCTTAGTTGTATATTCTTCTACTCTTTATTCAACAATGTGATAGGTGCACTACTAACGTTTGATTTTGTCTGATTGTTCATTGGTTTATCTCTTAAACATATGTATTTGAAATCGTGAATCGACCAATGTTAGATCACCATTAGAAACCTGGAAGCACTGGACGGCCGTTTCGTCCTAGTATGGGACTCATCAGCAATGCGCATCTACGACTCCTGCACAGATGTATTTTATCACTACAATTATGTTAGATAGCTTTATTAGCAAATCTCTGTCGTTGGCTACTCGTAGACCAACAGTGTAGAAGTTGATATCCGTTTTCACCTGATAATTGTGATTGCCATCGCACATATATAGTCTGTGACTGTTTATGTACGTACCAAACTACATTTGTCGAGCAGTTAAGATACCACTGGGAACTGATGTTAATCAAAAGCATGTATGCTTAACAGTTCTTTGTAGGATCCATAACTTTGAACAGGATTACCATACATAGTTGTATTGAACAAAAGAAATTTCATTGAGAATATAAACTAGATTACATGTTCAAACTTTGTCAGACATTTCTATTTGAATGAATCCTTTGTAGGATCCAAACTGAGGTTTGGAGTGAAGAATAACTGTCCAAGTAGTTTAGACACGTGCCTTGCCCAGTTTGACACCAAAACAAGTGATTTGGTTAAATGACGGTTCTAATATTCATCATAAATAAATATTTACATTATTACCTAAACAAATATTATCACTCAGTTATTCCACCAACAATTGTTCAATTCATCAAATCAACAACAACAAATAAATGATATTCTATCCCTCCTGGATAGATCAGATTCGTTCGACAGAGTGTTTCCTATCCTGGAAGAGTGCTTCAATTCAAAATCAAAGTGCACAATTCCAGTCAATGCAAGCAACACAATCAAAGGAGGGATAAGACAATATGGCTGTCGCCATAACTGAGTACCAGCTAAAACAACATAAATGTAGTTCAGCAAGAAACATAGAAACTCAGTAAAGGCAAAAGAAATAGAAACTATACTAAACTACAAATATTATCATCTCGACTGGAGTCGACCGGACTAACAAAATATACAACTGAAGGAACCAATAAGTACAAATTACAAATGTATACATGGAGGGATTTTCACAAACAAAACCTTCAAAAGTGGATCTTATATTCTTAATTACAAAAAGATGTTATATTCAATAATTTCTTTGTCTGATAGTATTTAGTTCCATCATTGAAAACGTTTTTGGATTGTGTTTGCCAATTTTATAACCCCTTGAATATCATTGACGATTAGATTTAGTTTGTTTTCGAATATGTTGTTGTCTTAGTAAAAAAAAGTTGCTGGACTCGGTTTAAATATGAATTGTATCTATTTCTTTTTTAAAACAAATTTTTACTATCTAGTTAATTTTACTTGATTTTTGTTGTAGACTGTTAGTACACCAGAATCTGCAATTGTTGAAACTAATCATTTGAAAGAATTATGTCCTGACGTAACTAGTGAGTTGAGATTTATTAATTATACACAAAATACATTGATAATGAAAGTGTTGAGTGTAACATCGTGAATTGATCAAGTTAGACAATAACACCGTTAGATACCGGCTCAGTGGTCCGATGGTTAGGCGTTCGCCTACAATACCAAAGGTCCTGGGTTCGAGTCGTGGATGCGCGCTGCTGAGGAGTCCCATACCAGGACGAAATGGCCGTCTTTCAGTGCTTCCAGGTTTCTAATGGTGGTCTAACATTGATCGATTCATGGTTTCAAATATGTGTAATTTATTTAATAATTCCTTTTTAATACAAAACTATTTTAATCATGTGTAGTATTAAAACTCAATGAATAATGGTTAATAACAAATCAAGAAAAAAAAACACTCAAGTATTGATTTTATTGTATGAAAGCAATAGTTGATGTTTTTTAAACTTGTGAGGCGTAATTAATCATTGCTCCTATGTGATAATTCATATGTACAATTTAATCTAAGTGTGTTTTACACACTTCTGATTGTTTCTAATCTTTTGAATTTCCAAACTTGATTTCTTATTTGAAAGAAAACAAAACCATTTCAAAGTCTACTCAAATTGTAACATCGAATAAAAGGTATATTTTAGGTTGGGGTCCGTGAGACGATAGTAACCGATGGTTAGAGACCTTGAACATCATGGTCTAAAATCGTTTGCAATGGCGCAGGTGCATCCGTTCTTTGGCTTCTCTCAAATCCTAATCCTCTTGATTCTTCATCACCTTTATCTTTCTCTTTTTAAGTTTATGTCACTCACTATATCATACTTGAATAATATTTTCGAATTCCAATCTTTTCCATTACCGCTAATACTTCTACTAACTCTATGACTGTGGGGTTCGCACTGACAATTGCATCTCTTTACTAATATGGTACAGCAACCTAAACTAATGAACGTACGTACGTATGAAGTTGTACGTTATAATTTCACTGATTGATATTATAGTTGATTTTTCAAACTTAATTCACATTTGTTTCTCTGAACTTAGTTTATCTCACTCAGTCACGATGAAACATACGGCCTAAATGTCACTATTAATTATTCGACACTGGAGGTGTTATGCTCTTTGAGCTGAATAATTTGATTGTGAATTTTTCCATGTTCTTCTAAACAACATCATCAGTACTACTTGTTTAAAAAAAGAGATAATTGAACTGTTAGTATTTTCACACAATTGATGACTAGACTTGTTCTGTTTATTTGGCATGTGATTGATTGTTATTTGTTGTTTGTTTATGTACTGAGCTTTTTTGTTTCTTCCTAAGATTACTTTTTTTGTAAAAAAAGATGTTTTATTATTTGTTTTTCTTTTAATTTCCATTGATTCATACAAAATATACTACTTACATTATTTTTAGATATAAAAAATCACAATTATGTATTCGTTCAACAACAAAAATCATCATCTCCATCTAAAAATATATTCCATTGTGATTATTGTACTTTCACGTGAGTTCATATAAATTTATTGATTTATTTAATTAGTTATAAAATTATCCAAACTATTTTTTTTTAAAAAAACAGGAAAATTTTCGTTTTTATAAGTATTGATGTCTCAGTTTCAAATCCTTTTTCATCTGTTTCCCAATATTCAGACTAGATAGTATCACTCGCTTTTACCTATGTATTGACTGTCGTGACGAGTAGGGTTTCATAGTGCAGGCGTAGGTTGGAAGAAAGCTAGGGGCGGTCAAGCCAAAACATACCACAAATCCATGAAGTCACTGACAAGTGAAGTGAGTCATGTTGGTAGATGTAGACTACCTGGTTGGGGTCCGTGAGACGAAAGTCACCGATGGTTAGAGACCTTGATAGAAATGAATCAAAACCATTTGCTATGGTGCAGGTGCATCCACTCTTTGTCTTCTCTCGAATTCTAACTTTCTGAATTCCTCATAATCTCTAACTTTCTCATTCTAAATTTATATATCTATATATATTCTTGAATAATATCTTCGAACCCTAATCTCTCCGATTACTGCTAATACCTTTACTACCTCTACTACTATGGGATTTGAAGTGACAGTTGCGTCTTTGTGCTAATGTAGTATGGCAACATGAACTGATGTACGTACGTACGAAGTTCTACATTGTAATTGACTGACTCTCTTTTACAAATTTCGAAAAAAGTAGCTTCGAAGTTCAGTTACATTAAATGATATTGTTTTATAAAAAAGAATTTACATTTTTTAATTTATATATGGAGACTTTTAAATTTATGCCAGTTTTTATCTATTTTTTTTTCAAATCTCAAATGAATTTCTACAAATATTTTGTTTACTGACTTTCGATTTGATTTTCTGAGTTTGTATTATAAGAATAAGTTTAAAACTAATAAATTTAGATGATACATTGACAATGTGAAATTTACTAAGATCTATGTGTTCTGTATTAGCGTAATAACATATGAAACAACCTAATACCACATTGATTTGTTAACCTATTCGTTATGTAAGCGATAAAAGTTAAACTAGGGAAATTAAATTATGTATAACGAAAACAATACAAGTGATATGATTCATAGTTTTTTATTCACCTCATTATTCTGTTTTCCTATTGATTATAATTTATCTAGGATGGTTCTTATTCCTCATGTAAATATCTAATCAAGTCAGTATATAATCATGTTCATTCATTATGCTATCATGTCAATACACATAATATTTTTATGATTAATCAACGCTTTATTCTCATTGCATTATCTGCAAATAAGTTGTTTGAATTAAGTATATACTTAAACTCTGTACAATTTCATGTAAAAATGTATTTTGTACGTGAACATCCTTTTACAGTTTATTTCTTCTAAGTTTTACAGTATATTACTTATTATTAATGGTAGTAGTCAAAGTTGTATGAAGTCAGTACAGCCTTGTGAAGATCATTGAGTTTCATTATAATCACAAACTAGTTAATGTTAGAACATTGTTAAAAACCTGGAGGGACTGAACGACCCTTTTGTATTAGTATGGGGCTCAACAACATTGTGCATCCATAACTCCTCAAGCTGGAATCGAACCCAGGACATTCGATCTCATACATGAACTTTTAAACTGTTGATCACTGAGCCAGCATCCAACGGTGTTAATGCACAACTTAAGTTGATCCACAATATTGTGAGACTATTATCCATTATGTTTAGTAGGTAACTGCCAGTCAGTCAATTACAACGTAGAACTTTGTTCATCAGTACATCAGTTCAAGTTGCCATACTACATTAGCACAGAGACGCAATTGTCAGTTCAAATCCCATACTGGTAGAGATAGTAAAAGTATTAGCTGTAATCAGAGAGATTAAGGTTATAAGATAATATTTAGGAAGTATAATTCAGTGAACTGAACTTAATAAAACGGAAATACAAATGATGAGGAATTCAGAAGATTAGAATTCGGGAGAAGACAAAGAGTGGATGCACCTGCACCATAGCAAATGGTTTGGATTCATGTCGATCAAGGTCTCTAACTATCGGTGACTTTCTTCTCGCAGACCCCAACCAAGTAGTCTACATCTACCGACATGACTCAGTTCACTTGTCAGTGACTTCATGAATTTTTGGTATGTTTTGGTTTGACCGCCCCTAGCTTTCTCTCAACCTACTCCCTCCTACACTACAAAACATTGCTCGTCGAGGCAATCAGTAGTTCGGCACTCATCACACATGTTTCAACCATCTTAACTGATGAAGTTTCACTACTTCATCTTCTGATCTGCCTTTCTTACCCAGTACCCGTTTCCTAACGACAGCATTGCTTACTCGGTTGTCCCACGATATACGAGCAATGCTTCTTAAACATCTATGTGGTAGCAGTGATTCAGATACACCTATGATCGAAAACCAGTAACCTACGAATATCTTTCAACTCTGACTGACCCTATCAAACTAGCATGCATCCACGACTCCTGCACCTAGCAGTACTCGAACCCGGGACCTTCGGTTTTGTGCGCACTGCTGATGAGTCCCATACTAGGACGAAACGGCCGTCCAGTGCTTCCAGGTTTCTAATGGCGGTCTAACAAGGATTGATTGATGATTTCAAAAGTTTTTCTTTCACTTGACCAATATACTTAAATGAAGTTATTATTAAACAATATCATTGTATACTGCAAATCCAATGATCAGCTTTTTTTTCTGTTTTCATAATTCTAATTTGTATATATTTTTTTTCCATTGATCAAGGTCTTCAAATGTCGATCGTCTCTCTCGACATATCAGTGCCCGGCATTTATCATCGCTTGATCATCGGAACAAAGAGAAAGCTTCCTACATTCAAGTTCATACAACATCTTTATCGGATATATCAAATCAAATTATTAATACATCTAACTATTCTACATCATCGACCACTATTTCCACTTCATTACTACCGGTTACTTATTCTACTGCTTCAAACTTATCAGAAACAACTGTATCTAGTAAGTTAACAACTTAATGTTTTCTTATTTAAGAATAATTCATTAATATATCTATTTAAATTATGAGCAGTAGCGCTGAGATAAACCTTGAAATATATATATGCATGCCCTTTATTAATAACAACTTAATAGGTAAGTCGTTTGATTTTCTCTCTTCAAGTCGTATTTTCAAATCCCACTCTGTCTACTTCACTTTAAAGAACCTGATAGTATTGTAGTGAATGAGAACACAGGTGGGGCAACCGGAATGTATTTAACGAAAATTACAGAGTTACTCAGTAAAATCAGAACACCATATCGTAAATCGTTAATTTGCAAAATATCAGTTCATCATATCGAACTGGACTGTTGCTGTTGCAAAACATCAATCCATTGTCACTATTCATGCGTTTTATACAAATTCCATTGTGTTCTAACTCTTCCTTTCTTGATCTTCCCCCATCTTCTGCTGCCAGACATTACGTTGACACTCACGTCATATACTACTTATAAGTAGCTCGCACCAAAGTATTACTAGCTCTTAAACTTTGGATTTGATTCGTTCACGAAGTAGTAGATAGTGAATGAGTTAATTAAAATTATTTCATTGTTTTGATCTGAATATTTATTATTCTTCATTGAATATCTTAGATGATTGACCTTCTAGTAAGTAAATAAACCTAAGAGAAAGTTATTTTTTTCTTACACTCAGTTTAGTGTTAAAATTACATGAATATGAATTTGTTTTATTTTTCTCGGTGATGGTGTATGGTGTATATGCAAAATTTGTGTCATTTGTGTAAAGATTATGATGAAGTTCAGATTTCTTTCCGGACAATGCATATTATCGTTGTGTAGTACTTTAAATCTACTAGTTCACATTATTATTATTATTATTATTATTATTACTATTAGAACAAAAGGATATTTGTAAGTTTGATTAAAATGTATAACACTTCAACACTTTCTTTCGGTTTATAACTTAAATCAATTTAAGTTACCTAGTCGGTTCTGTTTTTACCTAAAACTTTTTAAAGGGTTATTTAATTTTCGAGAAAGTGCTAAATGAACTGTGAATATGTCAATTTCAATGTTTTGTTTCTTTTTTTCTTCTGTGAATTAATTAAATCTAGGTACTCCGTCGACTTCTACACCTCAAAATAATAATAATAATATCAATATTAATAATAATAATAATGACAATAATGACACTGGATCTTGTGATATAACTCCATTTGAATTGTTTCCAGACATACCGGTTACCGTTACGTAAGTTGATATTGGTTTATTGTTAGAAAAAGAGAAATAACAACTTATTAATGTATATATATATATATATATATATATATATATATCTATTAAGTAAATTTAAAACAAGGTAGAATATTTTGTTGTTATGTAATAAATAGTTTTCGGTCATGTGAACAGAGCATTTCTTGACCGCACTATATATTTCAGGCGGAAGAAATAATACATTCTTACCATTGTTAGATGAAACTGTTTAAACACAGAACTCCTTTAATGATGTTTATTCTGATTGTGATTACAGAATAGGTATAGTGTATTTATATTGTTTTTGGTAAGATGTTGCATTTGGTTTTATTTAGTTTAATTATTTTACTATGTAGTAGGCTATGTTTATGCAATATTTATTATGGGACATGTGTTACGTATGGCTAACCACCGACTGCCTCGACGAGCTATGTTTTGTGGTGTAGGAGTAAGTTGGAAGAAAGCTAGATGGGGCCAGACCAAAACATGGCAGAAATCCATGAAGTCACTGACTTGTGGACTGAGTCATGTTGGTAGATGTAGACTACCTGGTTGGGGTCCGCGAGACGAAAGTCACCAATGGTTAGAGACCTTGAACGACATGGCTCAGAATCGTTTGCAATGGCGGAAGTTATCCATTCGTTGTGCTCTCTCAAATCCTAATCTTCTGGAATCGTTAGCTCCTCTACCTTTGTCTTTCTAACCTTATCTCACTGAGTTATACTTCTTGAATAATATCTTCAAACCCTTGTCTTCTTCATTACCATTAATACCTTTACTATATTTATCACTATGGGATTTGATTTGACATTTGCGTCTCTGTGCTAATAATGTGGTATGGCAACATGAACTTATGTACATACGTACGTAGTTCTACGTTGCAACTGACTGACTGACTGAGTATTTATTATGACAGAGGAGTGTACAAATCATTTTCTACTTACTGATAATGGTTTTTTGTTTAACACTATGCATTTGAATATTAAAGATTCCCATTGTGAAGGTTAGAACAACACCATTTAAGCGAACAATTACATTGCCGTGTTTTATAATTTTCTTACCACTATCAGTACACCTGTCTTTCTACTATTATGAACTTGTACTTTTGTCTTTTATGTGTAGAGTGACGTAATCTATTTCATTTCATTGTGATTATGGTCTCTTAAATTGCCTTGATTGGTTTAACATTTTCATATAGAAATATTCCTATGCTTCATATGTTGATCACTCTTCCTGATCAATCCCAACAGTATCTTAAATCCAAGAGACAATAGGAAGAAGTTATTATAATTTATCATCATTGTACAGGATAGATTTCACATCCACAAACGCACAAAGCAAAATGCAAATGAAAAAAAGGATATGATTTAAGAGGCAGATATATATAAGCAAGCGAATGAATGATTGAGCAATTTAAATCACTTACATTTAAGCTAGTAAGAGGAGAATATGTCTGTAGATTGCAACACGTGATGGCGCATACATGACCATAGAAGCATCAAGCTAATAGTGTAAAGATATGACAGAAACAGCACTGTCTATTGAGTAAATTAATGAAAAGGCCTCAATAAATTTTGGTATGTACAAGCGAGAGTGCTATAAATTATCCTACTGGTTCAACTAGAAAACTTGACTGTGCAAATGCTGATTGGCTAAGCTCTAAGATTCCTCTCTGAAAATCAGTTGAGAAGGCAAAAGTCAGATAATTGTATTTGCTTCTGTAGATTTGATTGACAAATCTATAAGATTAAACATATGAATAGCTGGGCCACAAAACATTATTATTACAGCAATGAGCGTACACAGTTGAAGAAGGTTTTACACTGATACAATCAATGAGTACAATCCACCATGTTATATAGCGTTTACCTTTCTTGAAGGATAGTTTTTAGAAAGAACAAGCGGATTCGACGAATGAATATTTAGGTGATTATGAGTACAGCAGCATTACAACTGATGATTATATTAGTTTGTCAACTGCTTCATCTAATCTTAAACTAGGATCTCAATACTTCACATTGTTCAATTTAACAGCCAAAGATTTCATGGTGTAATACTGTGTTAGTCTATTTGCTCCCAGTCATCTAATCTACTCCTATATAATATTAGATGATATTAAAAATTCGTGTGGACAATGTTTGAACTTACAAATCATGCTTCTCGATCACTTCATTGGATGAATTTTCACAACTTCAAACAGTTTACTATTCACCGCTCAGTATCTTACTTCTAATCATGATCGTGGTTGTTAGTTGCACCGTACCGAATGAATGTTCTCAGACCATCTATGGTCAAATACTCTAAATATGGGAAAATTAATTTTTTTTAGCCAAGAAACTAACTAGCTCCGTGAGCAGTCTTTTCCGAATTCTAGTGAGAAGTCGTGACCAGTGAAGTTCAACCTGTTGGGTGTGGAGACAGTAACTGCCGAAGACAGTGTATGAGGTTGCGCAAGACCGTGAATTGATCAGAGTTAGACATTAACATTGTTAGATACTGGCTCATTAGTCCAGAGGTTAGGCGTCAGCGCGCAAAACCGTATCTCCTAGGTTCGAATCCTGTGATGTTCAGGAGTCGTGGATGCGTATTGTTGATGAGTCCTGTAACACGACGAAACGGCTATTCAGTGCTTGTAGGTTTCTATTGGTGGTGATCTAACATTGATCGATTCATGGTTTCAATGAGAAACTAGAATTAACTAAACTTTTGTTTTTTTCTTATTTCTAGTGTAAATAAATCTACTTGTGAAAATCCCTCATATAATTCTGCATCAAAGTCATTCAGTCGTCGTAAACAAAGATTTCCATTTAAAATGCCTAGTGGTTCAGAACAAATTCAATTACCGGTGATTTATGCACATAATCGTTTTTTTGATTTACCTATTGAAAGCATTGAAGAATTATCAGTGAATAATAATAATAATAATAATAATAATAATAATAATAATAATAATAATAATAATAAAGGAAATACAGATTCAAATGAATCTTCCGGTTCATCTTATGTATCTGGCAGTACATTAGATGATGCTAGTGATGAAAAAGATTTAGTGTTCTTAGCATTTACACATAAAAGATCATCGCAAAAAAGGTTAGTTTGTGGATTGTATGTTTGATGTATGTTTAATGCGTTCATATGCATGTTTTCATATCTCAACATATTGATTGATAGTGTGCTGAAGATATTTTGTTGTTACGTGTTTACATGACATTATAATTTGTATAATATGGCAATATTTACAATCATTAATCGTTGTATGTCTGTTTCATCTAAATATACGCAATTGAAGTTGTAGGTTATTATGGTGTAGGCGAGACATCCGTTTGTTAACTTAACTAAAGGACAAGTCTACTGCGCAGCGATTCGCTCCGTTCTGCTCTATGGATGCGAAACACGACCAGTCAGAGTAGAAGATATTCGTAGGCTATCATTATTTGATTATAGATGTCTTCGAAGCATTGCTCGTGTATCGCGGGACAAATGAGTAAGCAATGCTGTTGTTAGGAAACGAGTACTAGGTAGGAATGACAAATCAGTAGATGAAGTATTGGAACTTCATCAGTTGAGGTGGTTGGACATGTGTTACGTATACCCGACCCCAGATTGCTTCGTTGAGCGCTGTTTTGTGGTGTAGGAGTAAGTTGGAAGAAAGCTAGGGGCGGCAAAACCAAAACATGGCACAAATCCATGAAGTAACTGACAAGTGGTCGGAGTCATGTTGGTAGATGTAGACTACCTGGTTGGCTTCCACGAGGTGAAAGTAACCGATGGTTAGAGACCTTGAACGATATGGCTCAGAATCGTTTGCAATGGCGCAGGTGCATCCACTTTTTGTCTTCTCATGATTAGTATTTTCGTTTTCTAAATTTAGTTCACTGACTAATATTCTTGAATAATATCTCTGAACCATAATCTCTCCGATTACTTCTATCAATTTTACTATCTCTACCACTATGGGATTTGAAGTGACAGTTGTGTCTTTGTTCTAATGTGGTATGGCTACATGAACTGATGTACGTACGTACGAATTCCTACGTTGTAACTGACTGATTTACTGATTATTAAACCCATTGGGATTATGCGTAGTAATACATTTACTTCACAAACCTGAATTCATGTTACATGATTGATCAGTGTTAGTGTGTTTAATTTTTGCAGTAAAAAATTTGTCTTTACTTAACATGTAATGTCTCAAATAAAAATTACTTAGACCACTATTGTTAACTGTAGTGAACAGTGGCTAGCTATAGAATTTAGGACGCGCGTTTCATATTATTTGGGGTTCTTCATCTAGATGTATCTGCATCTCAAAGTTGATGTTCATGCCGGGATTTGAAACTAGTACCTTTCGCTTCAAACATCATTGCGTTATCCACTTAACTATTGAGTCCAGATAGCCACTCTCTTCGCGACTTTAGCTGCTACCTGAACGTGGTGGTTGGGATTGCCTATTGTGATCAGTCAACCGAGCTATATTGGATGAAATATATGTTCTTTTAGGTCCTACCATACAAGACAGGTCGACTTGAGAACGGTATAATTGTAAGCAGTGACTTAAGGTCTGAGAGCTATAGAGGGCTGTGACAGCAGTAAGGTGTTTTCATTGGACAATTAGCACCTGCAGCGATTCTGTGTATTATTCGTATTATTTTATAAAGTATTTTTAAGCTTTCATAACTAATGTTTATTTGAATAATTCATTAATTATACTGTTAGTTTAAAAATGACCATGATTAACTTTTCGATTTTTGTTTTATAATATTTTTTACCTATAGGCTACATTCTTCAGATGATACAGAAACAAATCCGTTTAGTCAACAAAAAGCTAAACTTCGAAAGAAGTGCATTATAAAGAATCGTCTTAATGTATGTCTTTTGGCCTTTTTTTCCCTATTTTCTTAAATGATATTTATGTTGACTTATTATATACATTGTGTGTTTATTGTCAACGATATCCCTGTGATATCCCACCACAGTACTACGTATTCATTAAGAGTTGATCAGTCATAAGTTATGTAAAGCTTGTTACAAATTTATTCTAGCCCAAATTGTTTTATTACATTAGCATGAAGATATAAAATAAGAATGATGAATAGTAAACGACTTGAAATAATGTACTAGCAATCATAATGAGATAGATGTCTTGGGAGCGTAACTGGAGTAACCAAAGCGATAGCTATTCAAAGCTTGTCAAACAGTCTCTATTTGGGCAATTTTTCATATGTAAGCTCCGTACTTTCAAGATCTTATCGCCAGTTGGTTTACTTACTGACCCACTTTCTGATCTTTTGACCAAGAGATCTAATCCATAGGGTAGTGTAGAAATTATTAGAAGATGCGATCCCACAATAGCAGTTGACCAAAAATAGATTCCTTTGTCATTTTTCCCCTCAAGATCCTTTGGTCCATGTGCATCGCTAGTTTGTAGTTAGGATTTCCCAACTTTCCGATATATGGATCTCTTATATCCACCAACCTGGCTTAATCGCTGGATATTCGCGTCTTGTCCTTCGAATTTCGTAAAAAACACCCCATCTTTGAGGAGTCAGTGAGTGGGAATTCCCTGGTTATATGAGAGGATTCTGAAATGGAGAACGGACTCTCCCCACTTTTAGCCATACTAGGATGTTTGTTAGTAATAATCTGTACTTCATCGGATAAAGGTCTACACAAAATCATCATAATCAATCTAAATAAATTTCAGTTTAGGGGTATATTAATGCCCTTAAACCTGACTAACAAAACCCGTAGGTTTTAAAATCATACACCTAATTGGTTTGTCTTCATTAACGATAATTTTACTCACCAGCAAAAAATGCAAGTCATTAATTATAGTATTTTTGTAAATTATATGACATTCTTTTCCCCTTTTTTCTTTGTATCGTAAAGTTCATTCATAAAAAAAACTATTTCCAATATATATATATATGTATATATATATTTTTTATTAGGTCACACCAATAGTTGATCATGAAAAATCAATTAATTTCTCATCGTCTAGGGAAAGTTCAAATCAGAAAATTCAAATAGATTTAACTAATAAAGAATCTACTCTTTTACCTGTTAACTCCTCTTTGTCACTACTTGATCTATCAGTTACACTGGAACGTTTAAATGAAATTCCAGAATATAATCACACTGATCCATCCGATTCATTTATTGTAAATATAAGTTCCAATTCATCTGAATATTCATATCAAGATATTCAACATTCAACATCAAGTAAGCATGAAAATCTTGAATTGAAACATCAACAATTAGAAGATACATTCCCCATTTCAACTGATCATTCCAGTCGTAACAAACGAGGAACTGTGTCAAGTAAACAAAATAAACTAAATGAAAACTTCTTTGAACAAATTGAACAAAAATCATCTCCACTCATAGTAGATTCTAATCAAATTGAAAATCTTAAAGTATCAAATAATCGCCGAAAACTATCTGATTCGAAAAAACACGCTAAACAGATTAAAATTCCTGACGAATTGTTGACTTTACAGTCTCGAAGTGAAATGGAACCGGATGATATTCAAGTTGATATTTTGACAGGAGAATTATTTGTTAAAAATATACCATTGCGATCTTTAGTTACCGGTTTGAAAGGTCCACGATTTTATCAGTTGGAACTGGATTCTAAAGTAAGTAAGACTTTACATCCTTTTAAATCATCTATAGACTACGTTGTTTTTTTATCATTATTTTTGAATATTTGCGGTTAGTAGTTTTCGTACTATTTTGAGACTTTTTAGTATTCATGTTGACTGATAATGGCTAGTTTCTGAATTTCTCATCACCTTTATCTTTTTCCTTTTTGATTTTATTTCACTAGATTCTACTTCTTGATTAATATCTTCGAACTCTAATCTCTTCAACTGCCTAGTCGAGCTATGTTTTGCGATGTAGGAATAGGCTGGAAGAAAGCTAGGGGCGCCGAGACCAAAACATGGCAGAAATCCATGAAGTCACTGACAACAGAACTGAGCCATGTTAGTAGGTGTCGAGCCCGACCGTAGCTGCTACCTTGACGTAGTGGTCGGGCTTGCCTATCGTGATGACCCAACCGAGCTATACTGGCTGTAACATATGTTACTGCAGGTCCTACCATGCCAGGCAGTTCGATTTGAGAACGATGACACTAAAAGCAGCTACTCAAGGTCTGAGGGCGAAGTCGTACTGCTGACTGCAGAGGTGTGTGACAGCAGTAAGGTGTTTCCCTCGGACAACCAGCATGTGCAGCGATGCTGCCTTCTGACAAGGAAGGAAGGGTTAGAAAAAGTCGACCCTAAAAATGTCACACCTCACCCTACCCTCAAGAAACACCCTTCCATGGTGTGGGCAGCCGGGAAGTGACAACCGCCCTCATATGTGTCAGTCAGTCAGTTGCAACGTAGAACTTCGTACGTACGTATATAAGTCCATGTTGCCATACCACATTAGCACAGAGACGCAAATGTCAAATCAAATCCCATAGTGATAAAGATAGTAGAGGTATTAAGGGTAATGAAGAAGACAAGGGTTTGAAGATATTATTTAAGAAGTATAATTCGATGAGATAAGGTTAGAAAGACAAAGGTAGAGGTGCTGACGAATCCAGAAGATTAGGATTTGAGAGAGCTCTCATATGTGTACAACACGAGAGACCAAATTAGTCGAAATCAAATCCTTCCTATACCCACACATACATCTCTTCTCTCCACAACTAACTCTACTCACATTCCCTTATCTGACTGCACCGCTAATGCAAACGATGCGAGTTCACGAAACGTCATTCCTGGTCTCTTGAAACCTCGTTCTAGACTGTATGTTGGAGCATTTAATATACGGACCTTGTGTCAAATGGGGCAACATGCATCATTAGCTAGGACTTTAGAAACTCGTGCCATCGATGTATGCTGCGTCTCGGAAACGCGCATACAGGATCCTAGTAAAGTCATTAACCTGATTCCACCTTGTCAAAACGAAGAAGCAGCTCGATTTACTTTTCGTGTATCCGGTAGCCCTGATGCTGCTTTCAGGGGTCTTGCTGGCGTAGGCATAGCGTTGAGTCCTAGGGCAGAATTATCTCTCCTAGACTGGATCCCAGTAGATAGTCGTTTGTGTGCTGTCCGACTAAACGGGACAGTAAGGACTCGTAAGGATAGGGACACTCGCCGTTGCCTCTTCGTCATATCTGCCTATGCCCCACTGACTGCAGTGCGGACGAGGTTAAAGATGAGTTTTACAGAAAGCTTTCGGACCTCCTCCAAAAAGCTAGGTGCTCTGATATAGTATTAATGGCTGGTGACTTTAATGCTCAAGTAGGTAGACTAAGTGAGCAGGAGAGACACCTAGATGGATGTTATGGTGTAGCGACTGAGAGAACAGACAATGGTGACCGTCTGTTGCAAGTATGCTCAGACAACCGCCTATTCTTAGCAAACACTAACTTTAGGCATAAGGAAAAACATCTGTTGACCTGGCTGTGAAGCATGGCCAGTGAGAGTAGAAGATATTCGTAGGTTACTGGTTTTCGATCATAGGTGTCTTCGAAGCATTGCTCGTATATCGTGGGACACCCGAGTGAGCAACGCTGTCATTAGGACACGGGTGCGAGGTAAGAATGGCAGATCAATCGATGAAGTAATGAAACTTCATCAGTTGAGGTAGTTGAGACATGTGCTGCGTATGCCTAACCACCGACTGCCTCGACGAGCTATGTTTTATAGTGTAGGAATAGGTTGGAAGAAAGTTAGGAGCGGCCAGACCAAAACATGGCAGAAATCCATGAAGTCATTGACGAGTGGACTTAGCCATGTCGGTAGTTGTCGACTACCTGGTTGGGGTCCGCGAGATGATAATAATCGATGGTTAGAGACCTTGAATGACATGGCTCAAAATCGTTTGCAATGGTGCAAGTGCATCTCTGGTTGTTTTCGAGATATTTTATCACTAACATGCATCGGAACGTCGTCTAGAAGTTCTTACCATAGAAAATCGTGTCGAAGTGCACAGCGTGATTAGAGTATTTGAAGACCAAAAGAAGAGCTAGAGAAGACAGTCTATAATCACTTTGGGATGTTTATTGCATCTGGTTTTGCCTCCTTCTTACACTACGATTATTGAACGAATCGGTTATTGATTTCTCTCCAGTGTATTTTAATTTATAGCCCCATAAATAACCTCTGTTGATAATATTATTTGTATACTTATGTCATTCTACTTTCTTTCAATAGAAATACCTACCTCGAGGTGTTCGTAGTCAACCGTTTAGAAATTCTAAATGTCAACATCCTTTTTCAACCAATTCCAACAAAGTAAATAATGTTAATAGAACAATTACAACAACAACCAATGGTAAACGATCAACCAAAGAGAAACGCGCCATCCATTAAAAGCTAATTCAATGAAATTTCATGAATGCGCTGAAATATTTCCCTCCCCTCCCCCCTCACCTTGAATGTGTCTTGGCATTATCCACCGTCTGGATTCATCTTACTTCATGTTTCATTGATTCAACTCTTTTGTACATAGTACATTATACTGTTTTGCATTGAAATCAAGCGTATATATATATATGTATATATATATATATATATATATATATATATATATATATATATATGTATATTTATATACACGTGCTTGTTTTAATAGTTTTGTAATACTCTATTTCTTTTCTTCCTTAACATTCTTATCGACGTGTACATACGTGATTTTTTTTTCTTTTATGTTCAATTTCGTTTTGTTAGATTGGTTGTGTTATAATAATTTGTATGAAATAATTAGTTCCATAAGTAAAATATCTAAATTTTTTATGTGTATGTGTGTATGTGCGGTTTTGTTTACTTTTTCAACATTTGTTTATGAATTTTTTTCAGAGCTATCAAATTAGTCAGTAAATAAATTGAACTAGATTGTTTGTTTTTTATTTCAAGTTTTTCAAAGTTAATTGTTTTTCACAACTGAAGTAATCGAATAGATGGGTATTTAGTTGATTTTTTTTTAGAAAAAAAACAACCTGAATATCAAAGAGTTTACTTACTTACTTACTTACTTACTTACTTACGCCAGTGTACCCCTCATGGATTAAAGGCCACCGACCAGTTTTCTCCAACCAACTCTGTCCTGGGCTTCTCTTTCCAGTTCTGTCTAATTTTTTTCTTCATTTTTCTCATATCTCTTTCTATTTGTCGGCGTAATGTGTTTCTTGGCCTTTCTCTTTTCCTTTCACCTTGAGGGTTCCATGTGAGGGCTTGTCTCGTGACGCAGTTTGGTGCTTTTCGCAGTGTGTGCCCTATCCACTTCCACCGCTTCTTCCTGATTTCCTCCTCCACTGGAATCTGGTTTGTTTTCTCCCACAGTACATTGTTGCTGATCGTGTATGGCCAACGAATCCGAAGTATTTTGCGCAGGCAACTGTTAATAAACACTTGTATCTTCTGGATGATGGCTTTCGTAGTTCTCCAAGTTTCCGCTCCATACAGCAGAACTGTCTTGACATTTGTATTGAAAATCCTGATTTTGGTTTTGGTTGAAAGTTGTTTGGAGTTCCAGATGTTTTTCAATTTTAGAAATGCTCGTTTATTATCCACGGTATATATTGTTCAAATCCTAATCCTCTGTATTCCTCATCATCTCTTCGCTCCCTAATCTTCTCCATTACTGCTAATACTCCAACTATCGCTACCACTATGGGATTTCACTTGACAAGTTACGTCTGTGTGCCAATGCGGTATGGCAACCTGAACTTATGGACTGATGTACGAAGTCCTCCGTTGTAACCGACTGACTGACTGGATTGATTTATATGTTCGTGAAAATTTTCATGACAAAATCTTTTAGTATCCTTCATAGTAGTTGTTTCTTTTACAATATTTGAAATAAGTTATTTGTCTTTGTTCCGATTTCCAAAACTGATTTGCTTGCAGCTATTACGAGTTCACCTTACTTGGTAAATGATTCAGTGACACAATAGGCTACTCTAATCCGATCGTCCCAGACCCCACCAACTAGCGGTAGAAGTGTTGATAAGACGTAAATAAATGTATTCCACAGGCACCCAGATAGTACTAGGTTAACAAGCATACAACTCAAGTTCATTTATACATCGATAAAATGCCTTTGTTGAGATCCACAAAATAACGTGCTGAAATAATCCATCAACCAATGACACTCAAGGATTTCCCGAGTGGGAAATGCAAGCTGAAACTCAAAATGATCATTTTTGGCGCGAAAACATAGACTTCAAATTTCAGAAATAAATTACAGAATCACGACCTTTCACAAGTGAATTCTGGACATCTATCATACCCAATAAAAACCATTCAGAAGATTAGTCAAAACGAGTGATGTTACATGTTTTCATTATTCTATGTAACTAATCACGATCGTATGAGTAATATGTAAATCGAGAGTGCACAATGATTTATAGTTTTTGATTGATTCATAACGAACATATTTTTTGTGCATAACCTTCCTATACTAAATCGTTCACAGTTTTAGGCTAAACATCTTCCTGTTTAAATTTGGTTTGACTGAAAAGCCTGATTATAGGGAAAAAATGTATTGAGATATTTTCATCTTATATTATTGTTTGAAGAAACAAGCTGGAAACACATTGGAAATTGTGCGCTGAAGATGTGATGAAATAAAAAATGTTCTACCAACTAAGCTTCCCAGAGAACTTTCACAGTGACAGTGAAAAACACTACATTGAACATAGTGGACGGTCTCTTCAGCTTCATTTACGTGAACACCAATTAGCAGTCAAACGACACGACAATTCTTCGCTCATATCAATGCACACAGACAATTATAGACATACATTCGACTGGAACAATGTAGAAATACTGGATAGGCAGAGCACAAAGAACACTAGAGAACTTTTAGAAGCTTGGCACTCAGAGGTCAGTCAGCAATCAACAAACACATAGACGGTGACCCAATTTGTCAATCAATCAGAAAATTCATAGGCGACGTAGGATCGAGAAACAGATCAAGAGTGGGATACAATCAAAACAAAGATGCAAGCAACGACAGGTTTAAGGTCAGTAGCAACCAATTAAGATCGAAGTTAACAGATCAAGCTACAGGTCAGACGTGGGGAAATTCTATTACTTCACTTTTATCTGAAGTTTGTGCTGATGATGTTGTTCAGAAGAACAACGAAAGCTCGACAACCAAAACATTTAGCTCAGACAAAGGAACAACACCACAATCAACCACCTGAGCTACTAATTCTCTCCACTATCACAAGGTTAAGATTTCATTACATATTAACAGCCAATTTATCTGTAGAATCGTGAGGTAACAAATAACTTATGAACTAATTGTTGATCATCGGTTACTACTGGAGCTTAACATTGCTCCATTGCCTAGTGGATTAGACCTCTACATCAAAGACTTGAAATGTTACCTTATGAAACAACTTGCTTCGCTTTCGGCACTCGGATAAACATCCCAGCCCAATAATCTTAGCGTATGTTTATGACCGTTTGTGTGTTTGAATAAAAATTTGTTCCAAAAAACTGTGCATTGAGAAATGGAACTTAATTCAGCGTTCAATAAGCAAATGTAAATCACATTAATCAAGAACCAATGTCTACAAAACGTCTAAATGAGATTAATTTCTACCAAATTGAAATCCCTTCTCAACATCTTTCACTTTGAATGCTGTGACATAATAATATTGCGTAACCTGAAATTACTTGGTATTATCTTTTGTTTAAATGTAAACCGGATTCACTGAAATGTAGTTCATTTGATAGAGATTATCAATTGTTTCATACAAACTAAAAATATATCTGTGAATTGCTTTGAAATTTTATAACACTTAAAAACAACATCATGGAATAGCAACTGTAGATTCGATTGGTAAATAAAAAAGATTGTTGCATAATCTTCTATTCAACAATCATTGATTATAAATAACTATTTCAGTTTACCAACATTTTGTTTGTAGATTTGTTGAGAAAAATAACTGAATTGTAACATGATCATATTAGTTTTAAACTTCTCACTCATCTCATCAACCACTGACTTTTAATATTCAGTAAATATGGACTCTACTTAAGTAGATTTTCAGTAGTAGTTATTCAAACTGTTACATTTGACATAAAACTTCTAAATTATTTTACAAAGTAGTGATATAAAGGTCTTGTTAGAACGATCATCACATCTAGTATTACCGATGATGTTAATTGTTTTGAGATTTTCAAAGTGATTAAAACAAAACTTGTAACAATCCTGTTCTTAACCCACTTGTAAAAATCAATATAAATATCATTCTCTACATGGTGTTATGCAGTGTATCAGTACATAATGAATGTAGTTTTAAGCTTAAATTTGGTTATTCATCCCACCATCCTATAAAGTTGCTATTTAACAGGTCTTTATTTTTATACTGTTTACATCTGTCAGTGATTAGCACTGTGGTCTTAGTAGCCAAAAGTTCAATGACTATTACAACATTAATGAATATTTTATTACAATTGTACAGATTTTATGACATTCAAATAGTTTGTAGTAAATGAATGCGAATAACTTTTATCTCTTGGTAATAGGGATAATAATAATCACTTCATTCAGTATTAGAAGTTCAGTTCAATAAATAACAATTATAAATGTATCCGACAAGACAGTGGTTTTTACAAAAATATTCAAGAAACCTAGACACAATTGAAACCTTCTAAAATCTAAGCAGTACACTTCAAACCTGTAAAACACTCAAAAAACTTATCGACAACTCTAGTGTACAAAATGTTCATAATATATTTCTAAGTGAACAATAACCGGTGTATTGAAAAATAATGAAATTGATAAAACAATATAAAAATTCTCTCTTTGAAGTGGTTAGTTAATATTTGTAAATATTCTAACAGACTACTAAATAGCTTATTTAGTAGTAAGTATCATTTTGTCTTTTTATTCGTTACATAGCGACAACAGTCACACATTATGCTTGCACAAACATTGTTTCATTCTTCCGAATATATTGAAGTTGATGAGTGCATGTACAGTTATGATAATAGCTGAAATTGTATTGCATATTCCAGCGAATAAAAATGTATATGTATAATTTTCAGTTTGATCTTTGATTACACCTAAAATAAAGTAAATAATAACAATGTAAGTATTTTTACAACAAGAAAGGTTGATTAAAAAAAAATTGTGTAGATATTTTCATTTACATCAATTCAATGGTTCATTTATGATTGACTGTATGTAGCACATGCAGAACTGGTTCGTCGGTTTGTCAAACCTGTAATAATAGTAAACTGATTTATCTCGTACATTGTCAACCACTTATGTATGAATTTTTGCAATGAAGTTCCTCGAATAAATACCGTTACTTATTGAATCATCGATTTTCAGTAGAGAAACATCACACGTTATGCTTGTTTTGCTGAATTGTGTTTCTCTAAGTATCAAATCAGTTGTTTGGATGATCTTAAACTGATTAACTAAACATGCATATTTTGTAATGCTGTTAGTTTGTGATAATCTATATCAGGATGGATGAGAGCATTTATCATTCTTCGTGATAATGCATCGGCTACTTCGTTTTTATGACCTCTGAATAATTGTATGCTCGAAGTAAATTGGGAAATCGATTCCAATTGTCAAATTTCCGTAGGCCAATAAGTATCCTGCTTGGTGTTTAGTGCTTTTATGAAGGGTTTATTATCTGTATACACTGTAAAATTGTACTCTCAAGCATATATATATATATATATATATATATATATATATATATATATATATATATATTACCAAGTAGATTGCTAGCAGTTCTCTTCAAAAATTCTGTATCACGTTTGAGTAGCACTTAATATATTTGAGAAAAATGAAATCGTTTGCCATTCACCATTTACAAACCGCTGTAGTACTGCTTCAACAGTGATTTTTGATGGGCCTACAACTTCTGCTGGAACTGACGTGATACCTTTAGAATTTATCACGTGTCCTGGAATTTGCAGTGATTCCTTTCTGAATTCACACTTCTGAACGTCGACGGCAACACCATGTTCTTGTAGTTTATTGAACAGACATCTTATTTATTGTAGATATTCTTACGCTGTAGCACTAGCTCCAAATGTGTCGTCGATGTATACATTCAAGCTAGAAAAACCTATGATGACCTTGTTGATGAATCTCTGGAAGGTTTGAGCTGCATTCGTGAATCCGAAAGCTATTCGCAAAAGTCCAAATAATCTGAGTGGAGTGATAACAGACGTTTTCACTTTCACTAAAGGAATATGGTGATAACTCTAAACGAGGTCAATATTCGGCAATGTCATGGCACTTTCCGTTTTGTCGATAGAGTCGTGGATGTGTTGTACCAGACACAGACATTTTTGTATACTTGTGTACTGGTGAGGGTAGCTATTCTTGCCCGTCATTAGTATTGGATGATAAGTTGTTGCAAATTAATCGAGATATTCGTTCAGTTTCACTCACTTGGATGCATAAAGTGAATTAACTTTTCAGTAAATGGAATGAACAGAGAGTTAACAACCACATCAGAGTAATACAAATTATGACAAACATACTGACTAACCTCCTAATGGACCACCAATTAAATAACCAGTTGCTTCGAAAAATAAAACCAGTGATAAACTTCTGTCAATCTTTTTATCACCCATTATATTGATAACCATTGCATGTGAAAATGCAAAACTTGGTCCAACAAAAATACTATAAGATATGCCGTAGGCAATTAAAGCTGAATAAGTTGGATAGAATGGCATAACAATGGTGTGCATTGATATAATGAGTAAACAAATTGCTGAAAGTAAACGAATATCTAGTCTAGTTGAAAATTGTCCACAAAGTCCAATGGCTATTCTGCCAAGCATATTTGATATTCCAACATAAGCAAGTAAACTATTGGCTTGTTCTTCTTTCAATCCACTACTTATGCCGAAATTAATAAAATGACCATATAGAATGGAATCAGCAATATAACTTAATGAACGATTGATGAGGAAACTAAGAAAAAGAATATTTTTCAAATTGATGAATGTCATTTTTCGTTTGTTTATTCGATCATCAATTGAACACTGTTCAACCTCTTCATCATTTATTTTAGAAACTAATAAGTCAACAGCTTGTTCAGGTCCATCCACTGAAGTTATCGATAAAAGTCTAGTTCTGTTAGGTAAATCTTTACATTTGTAAAATGGTACCATCATAGCTTGACTTTGATAAATGGTACTTCCACTACGTATCAATTGATCAATATATCCTCGAGACCCATAAGGAACTTTTGAATGATGCAAGTTCAAATGTGAATTCGTTAAATGATGTCCAGATGAAATGATTTTATTTTGTGAAGAGTTATATTCTGACTCTTTAGTATATGGTGTAGTGTCATAGTTTTCATTGTCGCTTGTTTGATATTCAACTTCATTTTCCTCGAAAATTGTATCTTCAGTAGGTTTAGTGTATTTCAAAGCATAAGAACGATCATCTGATTGAAAATTTGCATTCATCGAATCAATATGTTTTTCCTGCACAATCACTATCAGTGGTTTTGAATGAACTGAAATATTCTTTGAAATTAACTCGTTTGAAATTTCTTCGACTTTAATGAGGGCACGTTGAATAACTGTACGTATTAGATTTTTAGTGTATTTACTATCTTGAGCTTGAATTATACTTGAACTAAATGCATCACCAAACAATGTTGTTTTTGATTTGATATTAGCTGTGCCTGCTGATACAGCTGCTGGTGTAGTTGTAGTTGTAGATAAGGATTTATTTTCACTAGGTATTTGTTCTGTACTTGCTTGTACATTATTAGTCAATGTAGTTGATGTAATATTATGAGTAGTAGGATCAGTGAATAATTTATCAATACCAGTTAAATGACTATCAACTAGAATTTGTGATTCTGATAGATTGGTGGCAGTTTTAAATTCAGTCAATTGATCCAAAACTAGAAATATCATTGGAATGAATAAATTCACATCAACATTGTTTAACGTAGTTTCACGAGTAGTATTCTCTGCATTATCAAAATAATCATCAACAATTGTTTGTATACGTTCTATTATATGTGGTTGTGGATCATTGATAAAAGTGATTGGACTTATAGTAATTTGATTTGAATTAGTTTTATCATAAGTAACTTTAATGAACTCCACTACACCAATTATATCTTGTGCAGTAATTCTGCAATGTATTGTGTCTGATTTATTTCTTTGTGCAATATTATCAATACTATTAGTTAATAGGATACTGCCACCGGTTGTACTTATAAATGATTCATAAATATTTGGTAGACCTGTAACAGATTTCAAACAAATTGTAGATGCTATCGGATCATTAGGCAATAAAATAGTCGGTTCTGGAATTGGTTCAACCGGTAATGGTTTGTGTAATAAACTTAACGGGATCACATTCAAATGGAATAAAGCTAATGCAATGATAGCCATACGCCAAGTATAAGATTCAATCATATAATTGCATAGTAGAGCATAGACTAATGTTCCAAAACCACCACCGCTACTGCATATAGCCAAAGCTAAAATTCTATACCGATCAAAGTAACCAGCCATGATAGCAATGACACGAACAACACTGACACCCATTCCAATACCTGTAAATAGATTTCAAAAAAAATTGAAGAAAGACAAAAATGATACATATCGATAATATTGGAAAAAATATATACAAGAACTGAATTTAGTACAAAAAGGTGATTGGCAAAATGTAAATATCTTGCAAATCTAATCAAAATTCATGGAGTACGAGTATTAAGTTTATAAGTAACAATAAGAATGTTGAAAATCAAATGCTGAGACATTAGTTCGCATGAATAGTTAACACTTCTTATTGATTGTAAACTTACTTACGTCTTCTCTGCAGTGAATAAATCCAGAGTAGTTAGTCGTATTGAAAAGATGCTAGGAGTTGAAATAACAGTAGTTTGTGAGTAATCGAAATCATTTTAGTGAATAATTCATCGGAGTTCGAAAGTAAAACGATGAATGTAACTAACTCATTTGTCAAGTTCAAGTTTCTCAAATCAAATATTTGCCTAGCATTCTGTGCGATAGTTAATTATGTTAATCAACTGTTAAAACTGTGGACTAGACGTTCATGTGCAAGTCCGTTAAATCTTGGTTTCGATTAATACGAGGTGCAGGAATCGTGGCTGTGCACTGCCAATGAGACCGATACCAGTACGAAACGGTCGCCCACTTCTTCAAGGTTTCTAATTATGGTTTCAAGTTGAATGACTAATTCATTAACATCACAAAACACAGTGGCTGAAGAATTGTAATCATTCTTATCATTATTTATATTGATTTACGTCAACATATGAATTGGTCTTAATGAAAATGAGATATATATAATTAAAAGAATAAAGCTAAATTGATCCAGTTTACTATAAATCTAAAATCTAATACAACTTACCATTCCTTACTCCTTCCCTAATCTGTCATGAGACAATTAAACTAGTATAAATATTCCTCAATACATTTCTGAGTAGATGTATCAATGAAATTTGAAATAAATAAATATATATATCTAAATCTATCTCGAAAATTTTGTCAAGTAATCGAAAGTATAATTTGTTATATATATATGTAAATACTAGATCTTGAAAGATTGTCAATCATTATTTCTTAATGAAATAATGCAGTGTAACAACTTATGAATATTTCTACCACCGTAAGTTATATGGAAATCTGTTTATGCTTGTCATTTGAAATGCCTGAACTATTACGAGTTCTTCTGAGTCGGTACACGAGAGCGAAGACAAATGATACAGTGACACGATAGGCTTCTCTAATCAGAGCGTCTCAAAGCCTCCACTGAGTAGAAGAAGAATTGATATGGCGTACAAAATGTATTTTACAAGCACCCAGAAAATACGAAATTAGGAAGCACACAAATCGAGTTTGATTATACATCAAAGAGACGTCCTTGAGAAAGCCACAAAAATAGCGTACTGAAATAAAACATCAACCAATAACAGTCAAATATTTTCCTGGTGGAAAATGTAATCTCGAAGTCAACTAATCGGCCCATGTGCAAAACCATAAAATCCAAATTTGTGACCTGGATCAAGTAATTTCTGGGGATCTAACGTCTCCGACAAAATCTTAAAATTGGTAACATTTTTTATTCCTACAACAGTAAACATCTTTTTCAGTAGTTCTACGTAATCATAGCAAAATATACGTTGGTTTATAGATTTATTCACATTTTCAATTACGGATGATCAGATAAAACTGGAAACGTAAAACAAAATATAATCATGTACCTAAGATCATGGGGAAAATTTGTAGCTCATGTGAATGTGAAGTGGCCCCACATTTATGTGCATCCGCTTACATTTAATTTGGCCAAGCCTTTCGAATAATTTATTTAACCAAGCCATTTGTATAACAATAAATTATATGTACCATTGGCTTTTATTATTGTGTGGTTTGTATGAGCTGGTATGACTGAGCTTTGCTTAACGCCTACGCGCATATGCATCCTATTCACTTTAATATTAATCTCTTAAATATCACGATGACTCAGATATCTTTCTTTGTTTTTATATGAACATTTTAATTTCATTCATTCATTCGCCCATTCGCATATTCGCTCGCTAGTGTGTCTGCTCGGTCTGCTTGTCGTCTGCTATCCCTTTTTGTGGTGTGTCTCAATGAAAGTATTCAATACTTCGAATTCATCTTCTGATTTATAAACCGTCAGGCGCTATTTGGCGACGATTGTCTGAACGAGTTAATTACGAAACTTAAGAACACCTAGGAATCGGCACACTAACAAATGAAAAATTGCGGTAGAATTTCGTTCGATCAGCTGGATATTTTCGTTGTGGAAATTTGATTGTATTCTTCTGCTGAACAATATCATCAACACAAACATCATTTCTATTTGAAGTTAACGCTCATGATGTCGTTGTTCAGAAGAACAATGAAGGCTCCCAAATCAAAACATTCAGCTCAAAGAACAAAACCTTTACCACAATCACATATCTAAATTTTATTATTGAATGAGATTGCTTAATAATTGTGTCTAATTTGAATAAAATATAATTTACCTCCAAGTAATGTATATGTTATGAAAAATGCCCAATAATTATGAAAGAATACTGAAGCAATCATAGCAGCACTGGTCATAATTACAGCAACAATAGTAGCACGTCTAGTCGGAACTACATCCAATAAACGATTATATACTGGGGCTAGACAATAATGAAGTAAAAAACATACATACATACATATTAATCAGTTTTTATGAATAAAGATTATCAATAATAAATCATCATCAATCACACGCTGATATAATTTAAAATGATGCGATCATTTTTGAGTAAAATTCATACAATCTTGAAAGTGATAAACTCTGAATTGAGTTAGAGATTTATTGATCACGGAAGGAGGAGGGTTAGGCGTGGGGTTTGGAGACCTCACTCATCCCGTGGAAAACTAACTCACTAAAATACGCTGACCAGACAAATCAGTTCAAAAGAAGAAAGAAAGTTAAGCTTTACTTTCAAACTAATTGTAGACGTAAAAACCATCTCAAGATCACATTGCATATAAGTTAAAACAGCATATGATGAAACGATTGATCTCATTGAGATATTGTAATGAATAATTTCATTTGAAGAATCATGTTAGATTATTTAAATAGTATTGAATTCCATATTAGGATTTGGTTGCAGAGTGTAGGATTTAGATTTTCACTCGCCAAATTAACTTTGTGTATACTCCTTAAGCTGAATCGCTGTAGTAAATAACGCAGTAGCATAAACTAAATACGATAATATTTTAGAAGTATATTTCATATGTCCATTAGTTTAAACAAACAATCAGAGACGCGATTAAGCGAATTCATAACTTATCTACTCAAAACATCACACGTTACAAACACGAATGCATTTTAAGATAGCATATTACACACAGAAGGATAAAACTGAGGTAGTGGGATCTAGTAAAGAATGTACATGTCTTGAATGTCACAGGTGCTTGCGAAGACGGAGGCAAATGCGACAAAATAGTTACAAGCTGTCTGGATTACTACAGTCGAACCACGCAGGTGTTATAATACAGAATCCAGTACGAGAAGTAGGATTCGAGTCACAACACCGTCAGATGCTAGACCTGAAATACAAAGGTTGAGCGTTCGCGCACAAGATCGAAGGTCCTGATTTCGAATCCTGCGAGTAGAAGGAGTTGAGAACGCGCATTGTTAATGAGTCAGTCCTATACCAGGATTAAACGGCCGTCCAGTACTTTCACGTTTCTAACGGTGATCTAACAATGATTGGTTCATGATTTCAGTATGCAAGAACATTGATATCCATAAGATTATAACGCTTAGTGAGAAACATATTGATTGATGAGTTTATTTGAATTTTGAACGATTGTTACATTCTTGGGTACAAGTTAAATGTCTATTCACAAAACATCAATAAGTATTCTTGAAAGTACTTTCTAAACTTCATTGAATATCCATAGGAAGGAAAGTTTTCTTTGAATAAATCATTAGACCAAGTTATCATTTGAATTATCACACACATGATATTTAAATGACAACACATTTTTTCATTTTATTTCGATCATTCTAGTCTGTTCGAAAGTGAATTATCTAAAGCAAACTAATTCTACTTGTTCGTCTCATCAATGATGACCTTGTTGTCCATTTCAAATTTGTGTAATTTTTAACATTTTATCAAAAGTATCATGTACAAAAATAAGATAAATGGAAATAAGT